CTTATGAAGTGGTCCTATAAACATGGTATACATTGCTCATAATTTGAAGTGAAATTAATTATAAAGTTTTATACATATTTTTTTTGTTTTGTTTAATCCTTATTTCTAAATTTGAATGTATAAAATATCTTACAGCTAATAAATAATTAAAAAAATGATTCGTTACCTGAGACTACCGCTTATCCGTTCAAAATATTTTAATAAGGTTGCGATGAGTTTTTTGCAACGTCTATTAAGCTATCTTGTACCAAAGGTTGTACACTTCGCACTAAAAGAGGTTCTAAAAAGAACAATCTTCGACTGCAATATTATTAGCGTTGATATCAGCGAAAAAAACATAGGTAGAAGAAAAATTCGGTAGAACCAAAGCCAAAGTCAATAAGAAAATGAGAAGTATTAAGTACAGTTTTGTGCTTGGATAGCACAGAAAGAAGTGCTATCTTGTCTGTATGGTTCTGGTTAAATTTAATCTCGGTAATAATTAAAATATATTTGTAGAAAAGTCGCCAATTATATGTTTTTTTTGTTATTATATCAGACTCAAAATAAAAATATAAAACAAAACCTATACCCCAAAAAGGTACGTAACACCACGAAATTTTAGAAGAAAATAGCAATAAATTAAGTCAAACTCCCAAAACGTAGCCTAAAATCACGAGGTTTTAATAAAAGCATAAAACTAAACCTAGATCCAAAAAAGGCACTCAAAAAAACTAGAAGAAAATCTAGACTCCAATAAAAAAAACTATAAATTCAGCGAAAACTGCCAAAACCTAGACTGAAATTACCGGGGGCCTTTTAATAACACTTCTTTCCTCTTTCCCGTCGTTTAATCATCTCAGGATTTTCTCGGAACATCTCCGTTCCGTCTCTCTCTTCCTCGATGTCGGCCGGGGCCGTATAATCACCATTTCTTGCGACCGTGGGAACTCGGTGGGAACCCAAACAACCTCAAGCTCTTCGCCGCCGCAGGACGATGATGATGATGCTGCGATCACGCGTTAAATCTCGCCGGTTATTAATTGCCCAACGATCGTTTCTGATAGCTTCTTTTGCGTGCCTAATTATTATCTATTTAAAACTGGGATAACGATTACGAAATATATATTACTATAAGCGGGGTTCCGTTCTAATTGTGAGTTTTTGTATCCTGTAGTATTAGTGCTTTAGATTGGTAACTTTATTATAGCGTTGATTGAAGGAATAAGAAGATGCGCAACCTTATGAGCGATTTCGTGGTGATTTTTATGGGAGATATAGATGGCGTTACCGTCAGCCTATCCGAGATTTAGTATAGCTCTGCGCCGCCGCGCGATAGTCGTTTACAACGCAGCGGATAAAGAATACTGTACCGTAGTTCTGCTTTCAGTCGACAGAGTGAGTGCTTGCCGGAGACAGTGTTGTCAGAATTACTGATAAATCCATAGATTTACGCATTTTCGGTACACTACGTTAATAATACGGATTTCCTATCATTAAACAATTTAATATAGTATTATACTTATGATTAAACAAAGAACGGCGTCAGAGTTGGCTCATGTAAACACATTATATCATGTAAATTATTAGGGTAAATGTCAATAATCGTTATTTCCAAGTCAACTAAAAACCTGTAAAAGAATCTTTATTTTTGATGTTTGTTCTATGTTTAACACGAATAGTTTTTCAATACATAAACGCGGATTTTTCATCCATAGATATTTTCGTCAAACGTATTACAGATGTTACCGATTTTAATATGGCAACACTGTCGCTTTCAGTTCCACACCGTCTTCGATATTCGGCAGCATATTCTGCAGATAACAATAAGTAAAAAAGTCCGTGAATGTCCTAAAATGCTTAGTTTCGGAGATACAGGGTGTAGAAATTTCATTTTAATTTCGATTTTTTGCAAATAATTTCTGAAGTAACGCCAATTGAATGAAAATTGGTATATGGGAGTTTTTTGACATGAGAAATTTAACTTTGATGTCAATATAACTCCTACTTGTAGAGGTCGCCCCCTACATATTTTTTAACTTGTTTGAAGAGTAATAACTTTCCGTCCGTACCTGTATAAAACTAATTAGTAAAAAAATATACATTTACGACGTTTTTTAAGTAAAAAAAGGCCTCTTGGTAAAAATAGCTACAAATAGTGCTTCTCGAGATATTTAGAATCGAAAATATCAATACCTGTCATCACTGACATAAATTAAACATGTTGACTAAATAGTTATTAGATTGAAATCATAAATTTGAAATGTCTTTATGCCAAAAGTTCAACAGAAACTGTTTTATCATCATTTTTTCGTAGAAAAATTAGATTTATTTAAGAAAATAAAAATTTCCCAAATTTGTTATTTCAGTCAAATAACTACATCTATTCAACGTGTTTATTTTTTATCAATAATGACATGTATTGACTATTTCCATTCTAAATATTTTGAGGACGGTTGCTTGTAGCAATTTTTATCAAGATAAATTTTTTATGTAAAAATCACGGAAATGTATATTTTTCACTCAGTAGTTTTATACAGGTACGGACGAAAAGTTATTACTTTTCAAAACTGTTAAAACACATGTAGGTAGCGTCCACTACAAATAGGAGTTATATTGACATCAAAATCAAATTTCTCCTGTCAAAAAACTCCCAGACACCAATTTTGATCCAAATATTGACGTTACTTCAGAAATTATTCGAAAAAAATCGAAATAAAAATGCAACTTCTCCGAAACTGAGCATTTTAGGACATACATTTATACGAACTTTTTTTTACATATTTTTATCTGCAGAATATGCTGCCAAAGTTTCCGGAATACAGTTCGGACCACCCTGTATTTCCAAAATAAAATAACTCGGTTATGTTGGACTTACTGGAAAACTCTAAAGAGAAAATATATACTATGTGTCTTTTATCGAGATCTACCAGCCCTATAAAAATATACGCACTTATTTAAGACTCATCCTGTATATAACATAAGATAAAGCTAAGTAGGTATTAAAATCTCCTACAAGTATATACAGGGTGAGTCTTAAATAAGTGCAAATATTTTCAGGAGTGGTATATTTCGACCCCAGGAACACGTCTACTTATGAGGTTTTTTTCGCAAAAAAAGATGTTGAAAATCGTGCATTTTCTTTTAAATTTCCCTGTATATTTTTCGAAAACATTTTAGAACTGCCTGTTCACCGCAAATTTTCCTACGGTATAATTTCTTAATTTCTGATATTACCAAAGTTACGGCTTTACTCCATGGTGACGGCACTAAAAGGGATGCAAATACAGAAAAAATCCGGTGGCTCTCAACATTTTTTCAAAAAAAATCATTTTTTTTTTAATTATCAAACTTACATAAAGCATAGCTCGGTTATTTTGGACTTATCTGAAAAATGGTAAAGAGAAAATATATTTCTTTTATTGAGATCTACCACCCCCTAAAATACTTGCACTTTTCTGGGACACCCTGTCATTCGAAAGAAGCAGATCTTTCGCACATATGCACCATACGATCCAAGAGGGGTCGTTCTCGGTCGCCACCAGGTCCGACTTCCAGGTGTTGTAAGATCCGGTGCACTGGCAACCGAGGGGTAGTACGACGGATAGACAGCTGGCCGCCCTTTGTTCTAGGTTGGGGTGGAAGCCCTACTGCAAAAAGCCCAGGTAGAGGTGGAAATGGCGTATATTGTAAATCACCGGAGCAGTCTTTGGGAGAGACTCTCTCACGATTTTTTTTTTGTAATATCTTAATAAGAATGGAAAAATAAAAAAAAATTGTGTGGCGGGCAAACCCACGTATATAACTTTTTTTTATTTAGGTTTGGATTTTTAGTTTTACCTGTTTATCCTGGTTTTAACCTAAGGTTTTAACAGTCATAATAAACGACACATATTTTAGCTCGCCAGAAGTTATCACTGATTATCATTTCAAACGCTACTGTGATAGTACAGATCAAAAAATCGTCTCTGATCAACATAATAGCTAATTTTCTTAAGTTCCATTATGTTTTTAAGGTTTTTAATTACGGAAAATATTCTAGTCACTCTCGCTTTTTTTTAGATTTTGAACATTTTTAAATATACACTATTAAAAATATGTAAAAAAGTTCGTATAAATGTATGTCCTAAAATGCTTAATTTCGGAGATACAGGGTGTAGAAGTTTCATTTTTATTTCGATTTTTCCCAAATAATTTCTGAAGTAACGCCAATATTTGGATGAAAATTGTTCTCTGAAAGTTTCCTGACATGAGAAATTTGATTTTGATGCATGATGTCAATATGACTCCTATTTGTAGGGGGCGCCACCTACATGTGTTTTAACTATTTTGAAGAGTAATAACTTTTCGTCCGTACCCGTATAAAACTACTGAGTGAAAAAATATACATTTCTGTGATTTTTTACGTAAAAAATGTCTCTTGGTAAAAATCGCTATGTTATAGTCAATACATGTCATTATTGACAAAAAATAAATATGTTGAGTAGATAGTTATTTGACTGAAATGATAAATTTGGAAACTTTTTATTTTTTTTAATTAAACATAAATTTTTCTTCGAAAAAATGACGATAAAACAGTTTCTGTTGAACTTTTGACAAAACAATTCAAATTTATGATTTCAGTCTAATAACTATTTGGTCAACATGTTTATTTATGTCAATGATGAGAGGTATTGATAATTTAGATTCCAAATATCTCTTACGTAAAAAACGTCGTAAATATATATTTTTTTACTCACTAGTTTTATACAGGTACGGACGAAAAAGTTATTACTCTTCAAACCAGTTAAAAAATATGAAGGTGGCGCAAACACCAATTTTCATGCGGGTATTGACGTTACTTCAGAAAATATTTGGAAAAAATCGAAATAAAAGTGAAACTTCTACACCCTGTATCTCCGAAACTAAGGCATTTTAGAACATACATTATACGAACTTTTTTACTTATTTTTATCTGTTCGGACCACCCTGTATATAATTTATGTAAGCATTTTGCCTAATGTATGTTTATTTTGTTACAGCCTCAAGATCGTCTTCGCATTCGCATACAAACAACAATTCACCGCCACTGTTGTTCCACAGCGTTCACGGTGACAATGTCAGGATAATGAGGGACGGAACAGTTGCTAAAAGAGTAGAAAGCTTCTGCAAAGGCATCGCCTTCAGTTCTAGACCCGTCAAAGTTAACGAAAAGGTAAAAAGAATATCAAAATTCATCATTAACCGTTATGTTTCGTTATAATCATTAATTGATTATGTTAATCTTGAATGTGTTTTTTTAACAGGTATGCATCAAATTTTCTGAAATTTCTATTAACTGGAGTGGAGTACTGCGGTTTGGATTCACGTCAAACGATCCAGCAAGCCTACGTTACAGCCTACCTAAATACGCCTGTCCAGATCTTACCAACAAGCCTGGATATTGGGCTAAAGCTTTAGCAGAACGGTTCTGCACGCCGAACAGTGTTCTGTTTTATTATGTTACCTCAACTGGGGCGGTACATTTCGGTAAGAATATTTTACAGCGATGTCATAATGTCAGTTGATTAATTTCTTAATTATTGTGTTTCAGGTATTAATGGAGAAGAAAAAGGTGTTTTCTTCGGTGGTGTAGAAACCAGAGGACCTCTATGGGCTCTAATTGATGTATATGGAAATTCAACAGCTGTAGAGTTTGTTGATTACAGGCAACAATTAAACAATTCACGGTAAGCAACTTAATCTGCAAAGATCTAAGTTCATCATTTTTGCAAGTTTACTGGTTTATTTCAAAAATGACAGATAATACTTGAACATGATTGGAATGCAGTAATGTAATGATAAAAAAGCTTCAGCATATAGAAATACATTTATAATAATTACTTATAAAAACATTAAATCCTCATTCAGAACCTGGAAATTAGTGGAATAAATTTATTAAATAAAATAGTTTACGATCATTCTCAATGTCTAAAAAATACAATTAAAATTAATAGAATATCCTAACAACAGCTTGCGGTACTCATGGTGTACCAAACCATAGACACTCGATAGTAATTTTATAGAACTACAAATTTAGTTTCTTCCCTATCGCCAGACGGCGCAAAATACATTAAAGTATAGGTTTCTAATTTATATATGAAGATGACATGACAGCCTCTATGTTGACTACTGTCTATAGTATAGTTTACAATGTTGGTGTGTTGGTGATCTGTCAAGTTATTTTTAAATCATTATTTACATAATTATTAATTCAGATATTCCTGATTTGTCGGAAAGTTCGGTGATTTGTGTTTATAGTTTGTGTTTTTATTAGGTTGTGCATTTCGGTATTTAGAGTCGATCATAATTTTCGTGTTAGATACTAAGCTTTTTTGTTAAAGACATTTAAACATTTTAGAAAGAATAAATTTATGAACCGAATAAAAAAATAGTTTAATCATAAATAAGTAACTACATAGTTGGTAATGAATAGTATTTTTAGTAACAGTTAATTAGTATCAAAAAATAGGTGCTATATGCTCTATTGTTGGTGTTTGGTTTGGTTGCGTTAAAATGTATGTATTCATAATTTTATTTTTGTTTTAACTATGTTACACTTCTAATGATCAAATAAAACATAAAATGTAGTATAAAAGTGTATATTTATTATTTTATATTTTACAATGAATAATTTTGCGCTTGAATAACGTTACCGTTTCAGTTAGCGTTAATAAGTAACGGAACGCTAAAGTTATGTTATGCCAAAACTCTCCATTAGTTTCTTCCGGATCACCAGGTGGCTCTAAATGACGGACCTATTTGTTTAATATCAGTATCCAATCTATCTCTAGTACATGACCTTAGTCTACGTAGGGCAGTCAGTTGTATCCACAGAGAAAGTCAATATAGAAAGTCAAAAATAAACTTTTTATTTCTAACCACAATTTTGCTTGACGAGTGATAATCAAAGGCCAAAATGACATTACTTACAAATTTTGAAGTATATAATTAGTGACAAAAGTTAAAAGTTTGTTAACTTTTTCTACTAATTGAAAATTACTACCACTAATTTTGACGTTCTAAATGAAGCTTGATATTCAAAACTTTCAGACAAAGAATATCACAGATACCCGTTATTTGCTTTATCTCAATTTTCTTAACAATAAAATATAAATCTAAGATTTTAAAATCAGAGTCTTTGGCTTCTGAGCCTTTTGCATCACCTATGCACTTTTGGTAAATACTACCAACCGGCATCAAAGAGCGCTAGACCTCAGTTGATAGTCACGAAAAATGTTTTAATGTGTATTTAACATTTTTTTTTACAGCTCGAATATGTCTCCGACACCGGCCTCCTGCGAAAACTCAGTGCCCCCTAACCATCAAACATCCATGGTGCCTCAGGACCCCGTAGACAGAATCACCTATCCCATGCAGCAGCTGCACATCCAGCAGGCGCCTGCCCAATCGCAGCAGAGCAGCCAGGATTTAACCTTGCCCCTACTGAGGTACCAACCGCAGAACGTAAATTACCAGGCGATGCCGCTGCACAGGACCAGAGGCAGGAACGTGCGGTTCGTTGGGGGTAACAGGAGCGTGGCTATGCGATCGGATACCGAGTTCTGCCAGGGATACGTGTTCACGGCTAGACCTTTGCAGTTGGGCGAGAAAATTGTGGTGCAGATTCTGGCAACGGAGCCTATGTTCCAGGGATGTCTTGGATTAGGTGAGTTTATAATGGGTTATTTTTTTCTGTAAAAGTTTTGTCATTCGCAATCTTCTCATATAATGTCTCATGATGAAGACTGCAATGGGGGAGGCAAGGACACACATTATATTTTACCTCTTGATATGTAGTTATATCATAGATAAAAAAAAACAAGTTTAGATTGGAAAGTGTCCATAAGGACAATGTAAATACTATTTTTTGGCGCTATTCTTCCAACGGTCGCTCTCCAAAGCTTTTGATAATTTCGGAGCGGTTCGGCTTTTTCTGGAATTATGTCGCCAAATATTGTTTATTCAAATTTATTATTATTTTCTTTTAATTTCTTAAATAAAATACAGTCTGTTGCATATAAGAAACCTTTATTTTATATAAAGAGATGTATGAAATACCCATGAAACATTGGAAACCGACGTTATGCCACAATCCACGATAGTTTTTGCAGTTCACAGTTCACACAGCTTTTTAAGTTTTTAATGCTACTTTTTCACAATTATCACGGGTAAATGAAATTTAAATCAAACTCACAAGATAGCAATAAGTACTTTGAAAATGGACGTTTTAAACACTTTTCGGTATTTTTTCAATGAGGGCAGTTTAAATTTTGAAAGATTTTATAATTTTTGAGATTCTGACTTTGACAAGAGAAAATTATTTCTGTCCTTGTTTGCGGTTGTTCTTAACAACCGCTATAGCACCGCCCTACAACGTATGCGCTCCAAAACTATTATAAGTTTTGGCGGCAAGCTGAGCATTCCAGTCTTGTTTCCTTTATCTATGGGTTATATTCACCGAATAAAAAGGCTAAGGAAGGAGGATTTCAACAAAATTAGCGCAACTGCGACTGTACTTTAATATGGCTGCCTTAAATTCCGATTTATCAGTTGTGTTATATATTTTTTAAAACATCATAAACTATAATTAAATTAAATCTATAGGAATAGTTACTTAATAGTGGGAAGGTGTTCTATTATTTTTACCATTTTTATTTGAAATGGATGGCATGTAGCACAAGTAACCAAGTAACTACACTCACTGGCGCGAAAAACGGGCACCTTAAAATTTTCATGTATTTGAAAGTTTAATATATTTTGTTCTAGTGGGCCGATTTTGATGATTTTTTATGCAATTTGTAGGTAAATTATTTGACTTTTTAGCATATCTTTCTAATGCAAGGAATTTAAAATTAATTATATAGTCTAGGTGTATTTTTTCTCGATAGTTTGGTTTTTGGTTCAACCATGATCAATTAAAGCAGTAATAGCCGATACTTCAGAAGTATCGGTGCCCGTTTTCTTTTGCGTTTTGAAGTCTCTTTTTAAAATTCATGATAATCTCACTGTAATTCAAGCTCTGACATTGTATTTTCAGATTTATACAGTTTACGTAAAACTAATTATGAAGTAAATTAGAAAGAACGAAATAATGAACAGAAAATTATAATTAAAAATTTACAAAATCCAAAATGATCAAGAGAAAAGTGAAACAAAGCCGACAGAAAATGGGTTTCAAATCCGTTTTTTTCAGCTTTGTTTAACTAATATTGAATGTATGATTAAAAAATAGTATTTAACTCCTATCTTATTTTTTTTATTCAATGTTCCAAGCACTCTAAGAACGATATGACTAATCACGAAATAAAAAGAAAAAGATACTATAAGCAGGTGAAACAATATTCTTATACTTAAGTTTGATAATTTTATTTCAGGTCTTACTTCGTGCGATCCCTCTACGCTTACCCTGGCCGATTTGCCTGACGATTCGAACTTTCTTCTGGACCGACCAGAATATTGGGTACTATCGCGTGATTTTGCAAGAAACTTAAACAAAGGCGATGAAATTAGTTTTTGTATAGCACCTACTGGCGAAGTTCAGATTTCGAGAAACGGCGGAGCACCTTTAGTTGTTATACACGTGGACCAAACTTTAAGGTAAATATACAATCAAAAATTATATTCGGTACTGATGTTAAAAATATACCGATTTGATCATCGAAACTGTGCGATCTGGATTTTAACGTGTAAGACAGAGATGTAGACAGGCGCGTAATGGAAAATCAAATGTATTAAAAAGAGATAAAAATTGGGTCGACACATTCTACACTGTATTGCCGGATTTTGCATCAAAATTTCAAACCGCACGAGTAGGCGTTTACGAAAATAATGTTGCATTTAGGGTTGGAACTTTATTTTTCACTATTAGTTAGTCATTTTACTACAGCTGTAATAGATTATATTTAGTTCAGATATATTATCATCATTTCAGTAGTATACATGGAAGTTTTTGAAATTGCTTATATTTTTCTACATACATTTTCCTACAAACATAAAAAACCGGCAACACTGTATTGTATGCCGCTTTTGATTTGTCTCTGTCTGTCAACCGGTCATTTATATTATTCTCTGTCACAGTCATTAAAATCCAGACCACATAAATTGGATGACCAGCAGGGTATATCAACATTTCTATAATTTGAAATATTTTTTACAGATTGTGGGCATATTTTGATATCTACGGATCAACGCAAAGAATTCGGGTTCTTAGTGGACACAACGCAACAAATCTCGCCTCAAGTCCTTTACGGAATGTTTCCAGTCAAAGTATAGTAGATAGGCGGCATATCGAAGCTAGCGAATCAATCAATAGTCTCAACCTTCAAAACGAGATGACCAGACAAGCTAGCAATAGCTCACGGTAAGTTTTAACTACAAAAAAATTATTTATTAGTACTTATCTAATGATGTGTTTTATTTTATAGACAAAGTTTAACAGTTAGAGATACTACTGACATTGTACCTGTTCAACCTAGACCAGCACAACCTCAGAATGGGAGGTTATGTTTTCCACAAGCTGATATTCAAGTAAGTACTTTCATTTCTTACTATAAATATATAATATTAAACAAATATTTTTATTTAAAGGTTCAACCATCAGCAAACGGTGGAGCAGTATTGTCTGTAATTCTCCCACCAGCCACAGCCATCAGCCATCACGGTTTTGCCAGCCACGCGCCTTCTCCATTGTCACCTGTCACTTCTGTCATAGCACCAATACCTACCACGTCAAGCATGGTAGCCAACGGAACTATGATGAGTAGTTGCAGCGCCACATACATTGAGGTATGTAGAATTATACTTTATTGAAAAATAACAGTGTTGAGGGGAAAGAAAATGTTTAATATGAGATGACAACAAGTTTTTCTTAGGAACAATTTTTTTCTTAAATGTTATATAATACAATAATACCAAATATTTACTATTTATATATATTATATATTTTTTTACTATTTATGAAGCCTCTTTGTATGATTCACAATAATCTTACAAAAACTACAGACCTGGCATAATATTTTTCAAGATATATACACTTTACATAAAACTAATTATAAAATACACGAGAAATACAAATAAAATCGCAAAAAAGCACAGCTAATGAGTTAAGCTTGATTTTCATGTGTCCATTATCCGTTGATACGGTGGTCTGACGGCGCTCTGATTGGTCATAGCGTTTTTGCGCCACTTTTCAAGCCCGTCAACAGAGAAAAATCGTACGATAACGGACGTTTTGACACTTTTTTGACAAATTTAATCTAACCTTAATAAATATATAATACTACACAGCGCTAAGTTAAAAAAAAACTGGTAGATATCTTTTGCTATGCTCCCCTGTGCTCTTCTGACCAAAGTGCGGGCCGTCTAACTGCTGGTAGACTACTGCGGTTCACTACTGCGCATCTGTACAGGGTATTCCAATGATGCGATTTTCACATTACTTTGCTACTTTTTATGAAATTATATATGCTACACATAGGTTTGTCCTAGCCTCCTTAGTTCCTGAAATACAGGGCGAATTTGAGATGCGCAGTAGTGAACAGATGTTGAATACAGATATGATGCTCAGTAGAAAACGCAACGTCTACCGGCAGCCAGACGATCCGCACTTTGTTCAGGAGAGCATAGCAAAAGATATAGATATTAAAGAACCAGCTTTATTAAAATTCCCTGTCGAAAACGTTGCTAGCTCTTGGACTATAAGTAAAACAGCGAAATCGTTATGGAAATAAAAATATCAGAGGCATGAAAATGCAATAAATTTAAAAACTGCGTAATTTGTTAACCAATCGAATCTTTAAATTCAACAAATAAAATTAATATCGTATCGTCGGACAACGGATGCATGAAAATCAAGCCTTAAACGAAACTGGCAAAAAGATGTTTTAAAGTAGATACAGTGATATTCCTCCATCTTTAATGTATCAAAATCTGTCCAACAAATAACAGAAGATTTATACAAGCAACATAAAAACATTACAGAAAAAGTAATTTATCTCTGAATTAAAATGACAGATTAATGCCACAGTGGACAGACTGTAAAAATAATATTTGACTTATTATATTTAATTTATGTTTGAATAGGCATACAAAAATCAGCTCAAATCTAGGTTTATTGTATTTTTTTTAGTGTGAAAATTTTATATTAAAAAAAAATTGTTTTTGTTGCAGCCCATATCAGCATCTGAATCATCCACATACTCCACACCTCTTGGCTGGATGGTGGACGGCAACCCAGCCGGACCTGCGCAAGGCCTTACGGCTGGAGCCGAGTGCACCATTTGTTACGAAAACTCCATAGATGCCGTTTTATACATGTGCGGACACATGTGCATGTGCTACGAGTGCGCTTTACAACAGTGGAGAGGTAAAGGTGGCGGACACTGTCCTTTATGCAGGGCCGTCATAAGGGACGTTATCAGAACATATAAATCGTAATCTTTTATTTGTTATGACTTGTTATGGTCGACCTTCCTAGGCCTTATTCTAACTGTATTTTTTAATTATTTTTCCATACTGATGCCTTAAATCTCTTAAAAAATATATTATAGTTTACCATTACAGTATTGAAGATAAAACAAAAATGGTTCAATGCATAATTTTAGCTTTTAACTGTTGAAATAAGTTAGAATAGGGTCTTGGAGGCGAGTCAAGAATTTCTTGTCACTTTACAGTATGCTTGAAGCCTAAAACTGTCCTTAAAAGATAACAATTTTCTATTGTGTGCTTCCAGGAAAATGTAGAGATTTTTAGAAGACTGAAACATTAGAATATTTTGTGATAATCTCAAACATGACACATACTATCTTTGAGTTCTGTTCTTCACAACAAACCATTTTCTAATCTCTAGTTTGACTCTGAAAATGTCAATATAGTAGAAACGGTCCAGTTATTTTTTTTTGTTCAAGTTTACTTTACATTTCAAATTACATATGATTTTTATTTTAGTTCTATTATTTTAACTTGTATTTCAGACGCAAAAGTAAAAAGTATAGCAGTCTGCATTCTATTCGATCTGATAATGTAATCTCATACATTTTTGTAACAATATATTATGAGGTTATCTTTGAATCAAAGTATCCAACACTAATTTGACGTTTAAATCTGCTTTTTCAACTAGAGAGTAGAAAACCTATTTGTACAGACAAGAAATAGGCCGATTGATTAACACATACATGTTTTTTTTTTATTAAAAGTCTTACCAAAGATTATAAAGCCGATACTAGGTCAAATGACAGACCAGTGTCGTAGCTAGTCCAAACAAAATAGTCACGTCTGCTGAGAACCAAGCAGTTTAAAATTTAGTTTTAATTCTTAATTTATTGGGTTCGTTTTCTAGTGTTTGTAAATTTGTTCATTGTCGAAAAATAAATATGGTCCTAGGTATCTATCTAAGAAATATTTACCATAGGCGACATTGTATATACATTATTGTAATCATGTCATTTTATTTTGATGTATTTTTATACTGTTTTTTTACCGTTTTCTAATTAACAGGCCAGTGTTTACATTATTGTTTGAAGATGTACGCTTTTTGTCGCTATTTCTACAATAGCAATTAAGTTAATGCGTAATGTATAAGCATAATTTTTTATTAAGACCTAAATTATTGTTAAAAAAGACACTCGAGAGATGAGTATATATTTTTCCCTTGTATATAAACTAGTTGTTCTAGTCATAAGAATTCTGTACTGAAATAGTGTTATAGATTATTATCATTATTATTATTACCATTGATTATTATAGTATGTTCATTGAAATAATATAAAGTGTTATTTTAAACTACCTATATGAAGTTTTATTTCTTATACTTACCTCAGTATTTTACAGACCTTAAAAAGTTTGCCATAAATTAATATCGTCACTCACTGTATTATATCATCGTAAACTAATTTTACGACATAAACATGATGTAAACCCTCACTGATTCTTTTTTAACTACCGCAACGCCGTTTTTTATCAATAGAATTTAAAAAAATTGATATAAAATATTGTAGCGACATCTGTAAGCTGTTTTCACAGTTTAAAAATTACCGACGCCCAATAGTACCATCTAGGTATTTAAAACAAAATTAAAATTTAAAATCAAAACTACCGACATCTATTTCTAAATAGCAGCACTAAAAATAATTTGCACCATCTATAATCGGCAATACAAATTATCTTGCGCATGACAGTTTGATATCCGTCCGGCATTTTTTAAGAAAGTCGGAAATATTACAAAATGGCGTCAGTTTTCCGACTTTTAAATGTTTGTTAGTGATTAATTATTGTTAAAATATGGTTAATTGGTGCTGTTTAGTGTTATAGTTTTAGTGCTAAATTGTTAGGACCATAAAAATTGCAGTATGGAGGCGGTAAAAGCATTTAATGCGGAGGTAATTTAGTGTGTAATTTCGGCTGCTATAGTAATGAGGCAATTGTAGAGATTTGATTGTCTTTTGCACAATCTTTATACATTTTTAATATAATTCCTCATTTTATTTCAATACGCTGAACGTATAGTTATTTTGTAGATATTTTATTTTACTGACAAAATATGTTTTGATGTCTTTTAATATGGTTTTAATACCGACATAAAATATCATCACTCGGATAATGAGTTGGATTAACGTAAGAATATTCTGACATGAGCATGAGATATCGCAGAACCTCCTTTTCTTATACTGATAATATACTTAATTTTGCAGTATGATTTGATATATTATTTATTATATTAATTTTGCAGTATGATCTACTTTACGCATTCACAGGAATGAATGTCACACACATTTAAATATCCCATTTTTATTTGCGAAATTTCTAATTGATAAATATTTAATATCTATGGCTAGAGGATTACATATTTCTATTATTTTAACTTCTTATAGCATATGAATGTTCAGAAGGTGAATTGTCTAATATATCAATATTTTGATTTAATTATAAAGTGGTTAATGACCTAGCTACGTCGACAAATCCCGCTCGATTCTGTTGATGTAAGCGATGTTGGGCGATACGAATGTTTGGACGGGTGACCGCCTCCACATCTCCGCGTTCAATGCATGTTCATTGGCAAGATAGCGTGAAAATTTTATTCAGGCTGGACCATACAGAAAGAACAAAACAGTTTTAATCAAAACCGTTTTTGACTAAAATTGTGCTCTTAGTGCAAATTAAATGATTAAAACATTTTTGATTGCTACCTGTTCTTTAACTGCTACTGTGCATATTTGATTGTAAATAAGATTTTTGCTTTTCTTTGAAACCTGATTTTGTAAAAGACAAGAACGTTTTTCGCCAAAACGAAAACTTTGTTGTCTAAAAGAATTTTGCTCTTTCTGTGGACATCCAGCAAACCAGCCTATAATTGCTTATCGTCATAAAGACCAGATATAGTCAGAGAGCAATTTAGACACAAGCTAAGTCAGTTAGCAATTAGGTATCTACTCACAGTTTGAAATCTATAAACAAGAAAGAAACAAGTTGGCTTGAAATTTAAAATTGTAATATGTAAATGTAATTGTAATTTTACATGTAAAATGACCTATGAATGTAGTTTTTATTTTCAAGCCTACTCTGAAGCTTTTTTTTCGATTGTAGAGTAAATACAATACAATCCAAAAAAAAATGGCTTCAGCGATGGATGGCTATGAAGTGAAGATTGCTGTCATTTTATATAATAATGATAACAATAAATCCGTTATCTGCTTAATTACATTAAATGTCTAGCATTGTCACAGGAAATGTTCACAATAGAACCAAGGGTTTTTTTATTGCTTACATATTAAATGTCTATTGTAATTACCTTATGTAAAATTATATGGGGAATGTCATGGATGTTCATTTCCAAGCCAACTGGACGCCGTTTTTTGATCATATTGTACCTACCTACATAATTTTTCTATTATATGTCGGATGTAACTAGTCCGTATAATAAGAAAATTGACATTTTGAGGGTCCACAAAAGATGACAAAAAAATTACTGAAAGTACTTACTCTCTACATTTTAATTTTAATTAAAATTAAGCCCAGGCTTCAGAACTATATTGTGACGCTTGTGACACTTACGGATGAAATTTGTACAAAATTGAAATATCTGTTAAATTTGATTTTAGTATAAATCTCATTGGTTCTTTGAAGTATCATAGCGACACAATGCAGTTCAGAATGGGGCTTTGAAAAATCGTTATCAGAAACACGTTCTTTCGCTGGCTACACTGGTTGACACATCAGAGAACCAGTGAGAATTGTTTAATTGTTGTTGGTTCTTTTGACATATCGCTGGCTTACATAGCCGGCTATTATGAAAATTTCATAGGTAAAGCCTTGTTCTCACAACTATGTAGGTACCTACGTTGTCTCGCTGGCGGAACCAATGAGAATTGTACTAACTAAATTCAACATTGAGATCAGTTTGATCTTTGTACAAATCTCATTGGCTCCAGTCTCAGAATTAAGACACAATGTATAGTCCAAGAAAATAGGCCTTCAAATATGAAATTTTGGTAAAAAGTTGAATTTTTGATAAAAGTTACTTTGAAAGATCTTAAAACGAATTGTGAAAGATTTTTTGACCCTCGAGAAGCTGTGAAATAAATAAATAAAATTATTTTTTCCAAATTTTGGAGAAACGACAAGGACTAGAAGATAGAGTTCAAATAAAAGTTGTAAAGCATCCAATTCTACATAAAAATGGCCTCTATACTTTTTTTACTTAAATCAAAATTAACCGAGATAGGGTGGCTAGAAGCTAGGGGACAGCTTTTATTAAAACCTTTGTTTCAAAGTCCTTACCGTTTCTCTGAAATTTGAAAAAAAACACTTTATATTTTTCACCCCTTCTTGGGGTGATCTAAAAAAAATCTTAATTACAATTTATAATTTTCCAAACAAATTGAATAAAATTGTTAAATATATGAATTTTTCAACAAACTGTTTCTTGTTTCAAAGTCCTTACCGTTTCTCTGAAATTTGAAAAAAACACTTCATATTTTTCACCCCTTCTTGGGGTGATGTAAAAAAAATCTTAATTAAAATTTATAATTTTCCAAACAAATTGAATAAAAATGTTAAATATATGAATTTTTCAACAACTGTTTCTTGTTTCAAAGTCCTTACCGTTTCTCTGAAATTTGAAAAAAAAACTTTATATTTTTCTTTTGCTCAAATCAAAATTAACCGAGATAGGGTGGCTAGAAGCTAGGGGACAGCTTTTATTAAAACCTTTGTTTCAAAGTCCTTACCGTTTCTCTGAAATTTGAAAAAAAAAACACTTTATATTTTTCACCCCTTCTTGAGGTGATTTAAAAAAAATCTTAATTAAAATTTATAATTTTCCAAACAAATTGAATAAAAATGTTAAATATATGAATTTTTCAACAACTGTTTCTTGTTTCAAATTCCTTACCGTCTCTCTGAAATTTGAAAAAAAAATACTTTATATTTTTCACCCCTTCTTGGGGTGATTTAAAAAAAAGCTTAATTAAAATTTATAATTTTCCAAACAAATTGAATAAAAATGTTAAATATATGAATTTTTCAACAACTGTTTCTTGTTTCAAAGTCCTTACCGTCTCTCTGAAATTTGAAAAAAACACTTTATATTTTTCACCCCTTCTTGGGGTGATTTAAAAAAAATCTTAATTAAAATTTATAATTTTCCAAACAAATTGAATAAAAATGTTAAATATATGAATTTTTCAACAACTGATATTTTTTTTTAATTTTTACTATCATTCCCTAGCTTCTAGCCACCCTATATCGGTTAATTTTGATCTGATCAAAAAAAGTATCACTTTCAAGCTTCACAACTTTTATTTGAAATTTTTTTCTAGTTCTTGCCGTTTCTCTGAAATTTCGAAAAAAATAATTTTATTTATTTATTTCACCCTTTCTCGGGGATGAATTTAAAAAATCTTTCACAATTCGTTTTTAGATCTTTCAAAGTAACTTGTATTAAAAATTCAAGTTTTTACCAAAATTTCGTATTTAAAGTTCTTTTCTCTTGGACTAGTAGTTCTAAGGACACTTAAATAATTGTATTTCCTGTAATTTTTTGGATGTCGTCTGTCAAAGTCTTTCGTTGAACAGACTGTACTTTCTTGCTATATATACCATATTTATTATGAAAAATAAGTAGTAAATATCCCTGTATTATTATGTAGTATGTTTTCAAAATATACAGGATGTCAAAAAATAGTGTATCTAAGTTCAGTGGCTAATACTAAAATCGATGCATCAGAACTTTTAAACGCAAATATTTTGAAAACCGTTCACCGTTTCGAACTAAATGAAGAGCACCTTTTTTACATAAAAAAATCCTAGCTTTAATTTTCATTTGTTGAAATTACTGTATCTATAAGGATAAATGAAGTCCCACTAGTAGTACTTCTTTCAGAGCTGTTACGGAATTTTAAACTTTCGCTATTCGCTTTGGCATTAAAATGTGTGTAAAGTACCAAATTTCAAGAAATACGATTTACTAGAATATTCTTAAAAATAAACAAAATATATTATTTTTATTTGCCCTTTCGAGGGGTATAAGTTCTTCAGGGAGCATTTTAGGGCATATGTTCATAGGAACTTTTTGTTTTATTTTTATCTGTAGAATCATCCATCGAAGTTAGATACACTATTTTTTGACACCCTGTATAATTAAGTTCATTTTAATATTTACTTATACTGATTGTCTTCAGAACCATCTTCACATGTATTGCTGGTAATTTGAATTTTAAATAATAACAAACTATTACAGCTGTCCGCCTTATACGAGGTTAAGCCTCCCATCTCCAAAGCAAAAATGACCGCTATAACGAGGGGAGCTATAAAAGCCATTAAGTTCTACAAACACGTCGTTCAGAGCGTTGAAAAGTTCATTCAGAAATGCAAACCCGAGTATAAAGTCCCAGGCCTGTATGTGATAGATTCAATCGTCCGGCAATCCAGACACCAGTTCGGTACAGAAAAAGATGTCTTTGCACCTAGGTTTGCCAAAAATCTCCAACAGACATTTGTGAACTTGTTTAAATGTCCTCCCGAGGATAAGGTAAGACTGCTCACACAAACAATGATGATTTGTTACTAGTGATTTGTTCTAATTCCATTTTAGAGTAAAATAATTCGAGTGCTGAACCTTTGGCAGAAGAACCAGGTATTCCAAGCCGAAGTGATACAGCCTTTGTTCGATTTTGCTGATCCCAACAACCCAATTCATCAGCAAATTCAACAACAGCAAACGCCTGTCTTGCAGACCAATGGAGGATCTGCGGCGGCGCAACAAGCAGCAATTAAAGGTTGGTAAAAGATTAAAGTTTAAGTGAATTTCAACTGCAATGTGCCAATGACTGACTGCGTTAGTAACGTATGAAAATTATCGTCTGTACACAATTATTGTGATGGATAATTAACAAAGAAAGTTGTGTTTAAAATGTTTAAACGTAACATCATAAAGAATTAATAAAACTATTTGATAAATAATTATGAAGATAAAATATTTAATATAAATACTTTAATTTTTAAATATTAAAAGAAAGACCGATAAATTATTATATTTCTTTACAACATGTATGGGATTTTAAGGGATATACGATAAGAAACAAAAATTGTATTGTATCTTATAAGCATCGTTTTTTTTATAAGTGTTAAAATTTTACCATTTAATTTTGTAGCGCTCTATGTAACTTTAAAAACTAATAGTCTGGTCATTTTTAAATATTGAATTTATACATTTTCATAATTTACTGTATATTATTCTTTGTATACAGTGTTATATTTTGAAGAGTTGTAGTTAGTTTAATAGAAAGGGGAAACATGCGATTCTGATAAAGATTTTTAACATAGCCTATATAATTTTTCTTTTATTAAATTTAGTTTTATTTTATTTTTATTTTTAAATGAACCTATTCCGTTTCAGTAGGTTCAAGTGAAAATCTTCCAGAAACAATGTCATTTAAAACTAGTATAAACCGAATTAAAGTTATATTAAGTTAATAATAATTCTTTTTAGAGTAAATGTATTGAAATGTTTACAAAAGTTAATTATTTGTGTAAAAATTAACGATTGGTGGCATTTGCCCTCTAATTTTACCTATGAAATGAAATGGATAAATTGATCTTTATGGTAATTTAACGTCGTTTTTTGTTTATCTGGTATAATATTAATTTTCTGAAGAAGAAATTGGGACGAAAAACTGTTTTTCAAAGAAAGGCAGCCTTGACACATGGCTCAAGATTCTGATATTTTAAATAAAAACACATTTTGACATTAAAGTATTTATTTTCGTGGTAGTAATTCCGAGCTGAATTTCCAAAAACAAGCTGTAAATACATGAAATTTATAATTAAAAATAAAAATATTTAATTAGACAAGTATTATTATTGAATACATAAATTTCTTTTAAAATTATTAAAGTAATCGGTTTTCTTTTATGAAAACCTTATTCATTAAGAAGACACATTATATATTTTATAACTGAATTTCTAACTGAAAACGGTTTACAAATTTTTAAATAATTTTTCAAGTTTTTTATTTCTTTGATTACATATTTTGATCTTTGATCACTTGCATAGCATTACAAATTCGCGTATTTTTAGTAGTTTATTAGATAAATTGTTTATATTTTTCGAATTTGTTTCATCGCTTATACCCCAGTCAAAGAGAAATATCAAAAGGTAAGGTGTGTAATTTTGAGAAATTCCCGACACCGATTTGACTGGGGATCATCAAATGGTAAGTCATTAGTTATAAGTGACCAAACCTCAATTTTCGATTCATTAAAATGCTGTTTTATTAAAATAGTTTACTCTTTTGAAAAAAAAATCTTAGTAATTCTAAATAATTTAACAAAATCTGTATTGTTTTTCTGTTTTGTACTAAATATTTGTGTATAACCGGAAAATTGAGGTTAGGACTGATATACAGTTTAAGCTATTTGTATGTAAAGAGTTGACACTCTTGGTTTTGCGGAATTTTCTTTACAATATGAAAAACTAAAGCTCCCACTTGGCACATTGCGAAGGGCTTGGCTCTCTCTAAATCAAGTTGTTCATGATAGGTTCACCCGCACTGCAAAGAACTCCTACCAAGGCCAATCAGACGACGGACGGAGGCGCTTCGAACTTGGTTAGTCGCTACCCATTGGACTATAACGACCAGAAGAAATATCTGCGCCAGTATACAGTGTTTTTCTGAATGATCTCGGGACGGTTTTGCCAGTTTTGACCTTCTTTGGAGCTTATTTTTATTTTTTGGGCTAGAATTTTTGTTTAAAAAATAAATTACAGGGGTTTAGTAACTTTTTAATGCATATGTATTACCAAAAATAACACATATGTACTTTCAAGTGTCACAGTTCATAATTATTGATATAAACTATATTTTTTTAAATGGGGCAAAGTGTATATTAGAGGTGTATTAGATGGCACTTTTTCAATATTTCAAAAATATATTACACTGTCTTTTATTTTTACTAGATTTATTGCAATCTATGTTTTATAAAAGACATACACAAATGTTAATATTGTAATTGAAAATTGAACATATCGGAGGTTTTTCAAAAATGGCTGACCCCTAATTTTTTTTTTGCACAACAAAAAAAAGTGATTCAATGTGTTTTTCGAAAATGAAATTCTGAATAGTATGACATAACATGTGAACTTTTGACATTTTCATACTCTCAGCCTCATACTATTTTTAAAAAAATAGTATTCTAAATTTCAATTTTGAGTGCCGTGGCTGTTTCATAACGACAATTTGTTTCGAAATACCAAATATATGGCACCAAATTATTTATAAAAAATGTTTTTTCCAAGTATGCTATCAAGCCACCTTCATGCTATTTGAAAAAATTGAGTTATGATTAAAAATACCATTGGCCAAATTTGAACTGCCCAAGAAAAGTCACGAAAAATATTAAGACTATCAAACCTATTTTTCCAAGCTTCCTTGATTAAAAATTAGTGGTTTTAACACAGCCATGTCATTTTAGATTTTAAATTTAAAATACTATTTTTTAAGCGCAAATGTTATAAGTTGCCATGATATGTTATTCTATTGGTTCAAAAAAAATACAGAGGGTACCATTAAAAAATCAAAAGTTGTAGTCATTTCCGGTGAAACAGGAACTAATTGAATACACCAGTCAATCCCGATATAATATGTCATATACTGATATCAAACTTCAATTTTTTTCGGATAAAATGAAAAAGTTACAGGGTTTTAATATTATAATTGCAAAAAAAAGAGTGATATATTTTTGAAATTACATAAATAAAAGTGCTATCTCATAAACTTGTATGTATATGTAGTGTCATGTATTTAAAAAATATAGATTATATCAACAACTCTTGACATTTGACAATGTATGCAATTTTTTTGGGAATACTTACTAATTAAAACTTTACCAAAGACCTTATATTTTATTTTTAATTAATTTTCTGGCTTAAATAAAAAATAGGTTGTTAAAAATAGATCAAAATGAAATGATTACGCTGTATTTGTTTCACCTGAGAATGTCATCACTTAAACAGGGACCAAAATACCATATGATCGAAAAAAAACGGTATCCAGTTCGCTTGGAAATGACGATCGATGACAAGCGATCTTCATTTGATCGCCATCGTTGACGCCGTTTGTTTTTTTTTTTCGATCATATTGTATTTTAATCTCCATTGGATTTAGAATCTTCAGATACAAAATTCTTAGTGATTTACTTGGAATTAAATTTGACTGACCAACAAAAACCGCTTAATGTTTTCGAGGAATATTTTTCCCTGTTCTCGGAAGTAAAAATTAAAAATATAGTTTTTATTTTGCTTTCGTTTATGTAGGAGAATATATTCTTTAAAACATTACACGTTTTTTGTTGGTTAGACAAATTTCTTTATTACAAAGAGACTGAAAAGTTTGTGTCTGTATATTTTAAACCAACTTGGGATTTAAAAAAAACTCATTGAATAAAATATCTATCTTAAATCTGTAGTACTAAAGACCCATTCTCAGAACTTCGTACTGTTGCCAGCGACACAGTTTGACATTTCAAACAACCAATGAGAGCTGTACTAAATTTAAAATTGACAGGTGTTTGAATTTTGTCCAGATCTCATTGATTCTTTTGACTTGTCACTGGCGACACTACTAAGTTTTGATAATGGGGCTTAAAGCTTGATTTTCATGCGTCCGTTGTCCGTTGATACGATGGTCCGATATTAATTTTATTTGTTACAACCAACAAATTAATATCGTATCGTCGGACAACGGATGCATGAAAATCAAACTTAAGGCAGAACCTGATATGTCAAAGGGAAATAATGTTAACATATCAGGTTAAAACCTGGTGCCACAGGTAAACTTAGTGCCACAGAAATAAGCTTATTGTTTCGCTTTCTTTGAGAAAGAGACAATATGAAAAATAATTTATAAAGATACTGCCCAGAACTTTTTGTCTCTACGACAAAACGACTATTTACAAAATATTTTAATTTTTTTTTTTTTTTTTTTTTTACGATGTCTTATTATTTATGACAATAGAGGGAGGTACACCTTTTGAAACATTATTTTTGTTAATTATGCATTTTATTTATATTCAAGTAAAGGCTCACTGAATTTTAATCTTTCTGATAATGTAAATAGATATAAAACTTAAAAAATCAAATATATTAGTCAAACATTTTAAGTTAACATAGTGACGATAATTTCAGGGAAACTGTACAATGTTTTATGATCAAGAGAGCTTATCAAAATTGAAAGTATTTTACTGTACGATGTTTTTTTTTAATCAGCACCTAAAAACTTTATTATTGTACTTATACATGTTTTCAAAATGTTTCAAAACTAAAACTACACTAATAAAATTAATTTTATTTATAGTTTTTAATTCAGTGTAGTTTGTTAGTAATTATTTGTCATATGATATAGCAACAATCAATTTATATTTTATCAATAAAAAATAGTATCACAGTGGTCTTTGAAATGACTATTGATCATTGATTTCTAACGGGCTAACCCATGTATGTCATTTATTAAATATTGTTTTAATTAGTTTCAAGTCACATTTTTTGAAAGTAGGTTTCTTTCTGGAAACTTTCTATTTTTTTTCTCTAAATTTTGGCAGATTTTTATGACAGTTCTTAATGAATGACTTTCCGGTCAGTTCGCCAGAAATGTCAACGATTGTCACTCCAAAGGCCACTATGACACTGTTTTTTTTTTCAATCCTAAAAATGCTTATATTTGACTGATATCTCAAAAATAAACTTGTATTTCTTATGCCTACCTTTCTACATTTTAAAAAATAGCTCTAAAAAATTTGGCTAATTTGAAGCTTTCTGAAATATGCTTGTCATTTGTCATAAATTTTTCCAAAAAAAAAGTATATAGATGGAAATCTAAGAAAAAGTTTCACTCTCTGTGTGATATTTTATGTATGAATCACTTCATCATTTGTTATATATTAAATTAAATGTAACCATCTCCTTAGCATTCAATGATATGTGAAAAATCAAATACATTTTTTTTTTAATTATAACGGTAATTCGAAATAAGTTGAAGTACTACGCATAAAGTTATATTTTCTATAATTGCAATAGTTAAATTATGACAAATAATTAAATCAAAATTATATTTTAAATGTTTTATTAATAGTAAAGCAATGTAATGTATATTGTATTTGTTAATGTACTGCAAAGGGATATAATATTACAAGAGATCAATCAAGAAAAACACTGTATAATAATTTTTGAAAAACTTTAACAAATAAATAATATAGTAAATCTGGATACTATATAGATGTTATATGTATGTTATTTTATTTTGTTTCATGTTCTAATTTATGTCTAGTAATATTTTTATATTATTTTGCTTGTAAATTGTATTCAATTTTTTCTTCACAAATCTTCACTTTTCTTGTGTCATAACATCAATCTAAATAAGATCAATAATTTTCTTTTTTAATTATTCATAAATATATACTTAATGAAAAATTCAATAACTATTAAGAGATTATTTTATCAATTTAGCAGGTCATTGATAAGTCGAGCTGGTTATTTTGTTTATACAATATTAATCATTAATATTTAGTAAATATTATAACTGTTTTATTGATAAATATCATAGTAGTATGCTAATTAATACATATGTCTGTATAGTTCCAGATTTAAATGTTTATATTTATAAAAATAATATAAAAAAAGTTTAATAATAATACATACAAAAATTAATGATATACAGAATAGCAAATAATCAACTTTTCTATGTATAAAAAGACATTATTTTATTGAAATAACTTTTTACTAATAAGTTTTAAATAATAGTATTTGAATTGTTACAAATATTAATCATGATATAAACTAGTCACGTTTGGAGCTTATTATATACAGTATGTCCCCGGATTGTCTTTACAAGAGGAAAAACATTTTTATTACTGACATTTTGAGAAAAATGCATTCTTCATAAAAAAAATTTGCTTGTTCTAAAATAGTTAATCTCGTTTATACTTTTCCAAATTTCCACACCATTTTAACCGAGAAAATAAAAAAATAACATGAAAATATGGTTGAATTTTTTCCTAAAAATCGTTTTTTCTATGGTAATTTTCTATGGAAAAAGTTTTTTCTATGGTAATATATTTTCGATTTAATTTTTTTATAGATTGTTATTATTAATTTTGATTAACGTCATATTTTTTGCCGTTGTTAAAATCTATCAACCGAGCTATCAAACAATGAACGAAATTATATTACCATAGAAACGCGTTTTGAGGGATTCTTTAATTTTTAGGACTTCAACAAAAAATTCAACTATATTTTTATATATTTTTTTTAATTTTCTCTAAAACGGGTTGAAATTTTCAAAAAGTATCCCTTTTTAACCATTTTAGAATAAGCAAAAAATTTTATGAAGAATGCATTTTTTCCCAAAATGTCAATTGTCAATAATAAAAAAGTTTTTCCTCTTGTAAAGACAATCAATATACTTAAGAGGTGTGCTTTTGCTATTTTAAGATAAAATTGAGTTTAAAGACAGCTATTTATTTGCAAACTATTTATTTGTTGGATATAATTAACTGAGAGTACCTATCATGAGCAACTTAACAAAAGAGAGAGAGAGCTTAAGAATGTTATTATTCTACATGGTTTTATACACAACACATTTATTTAGATTCAAATTTGTATATTTTAGGTTAAGTATACCGTACAATCGAAAAAATACTGCGTCAGAGTCGGCCTGGAAATGAATATTGATATCATATGTAAAATTATATGATAAATGTCATTGATCGTTATTTCCAAGCCAACTTAATGCCTGTTTTTTATTTTGGGCACGGTTTGTTTGGAAGTCGCTGCTAATTTGATTGGTTTAAATAGAAAAATCTATATATTTTTTGCTTTTTGGATTCGTGGATTACATTACCTTTGCAGAGCAAAATATTTTTTTTTGCGTTGAGTTATTTGCAGACTTGTACTATACTTTTTTTACCAACTAGTGCTCAAATTTCTTTATGAACATCTAAAATTATAATTATGTACTTTTAAAAAATATAGCCCTAATTATGTCGCCACTAGCAAAACAGGTGCGTAAAACTATGCCCGCTACCGCAGTTGGACTCATCTAAAACGTTTTATTAGCTTGAATAATAAATTATAATACACGTTAGGCCTTCTACAGATATCGAAAGATTTACCTTTTTATTTTTTAGAGTATTCTCGTATTATACTTTCTAATATTTTTCAAATAATATAACAATTTTTTTTGTGTACTTGCTATTTAAGCTCGTGTATTTTTATAACTCGGTTGTTTAGAGTATTCTCTAATAGTGGCAGCAATAGCGGAGAATGCACCAAACCTATAAAAATAGCATTTAGTAATAGAATAAGTTAACGTGCAAATGTTTCGAAAAATAAGTTTAATAAATTTAGACATAAACAACTAACTTTATACAAAGACGGAATTATCTTTGTATGAATAAAATAAAATGACAGAAGTGATATTTACTTTTAAATATGTATACACTCGGCATTTTATAATTTTTTGGGCGTACATTTAAATGTGTGGTTATTAATTGTTATGACCATTTTGTATATTTATAATCGTTCGTTTATGAAAAGGCTAAAAACTGAATATATTTAAAAAAATGTAAAGCATTATACACTAATTCATGTAGAGTCAAAATAATATAAAATATATAGATGGTTCTATTTAAACTAAGAAAAGGTGGCAGACACTTCCGCTTTGACTGAAAATGTCAGGAACTAAGTCTAAAGCAAGTTTATCGATTGAGCTAAATAAAAATGTATTTATTTTTGTTTTATCTCCATAACAGTTATCTTTTTTTCCAGAATTTACAAAATCTGAGCGAGCCAGTACTTCAACAACTCCAACAATTGCAACGTCTACTAATAAAAGGCGCCGATGCGGGTAGACCTGAACAAGTCCACTTCGACAAGAAGCTCCTCGATTTCGATTACGGCGACGACGAAGAGGAGGTCAATCCCAGTCCCAGACCTCCCCAGATGCAGCCGGTAGAACCCATAGCGAACCTCCTAACCAACCCGGAGGTGCTCAGGCAACTGCAGAACTTGCAAAACACCATCGCGAACGCGGTGCCCATGAGCCAGGCTGAACTCGATCAAGAGAAGTTGAAGAAGCTTCAGGAGATGAAGATGCAGGAAGATGAGTTTGATAAGCACCTGGCTCAGACCGTTCCTAATTTGCCTTTTGCCGCGGAGTGCGAGTTTAAACCCAACAATCAGCCGACTATGATCGGAGGGTTCCAGTTTATACCTCCTCCGACCGATAGCAGTCAGATGTCTCAGAGTTACGACATGTCTATGTCGCATGATAATAGCGGTGGATTTGGGGGTAGTCAGAATAGCACTGGCAACGATGTAGAGGTTTGCGTTATTTTTTAAACTCTTGGCGACACAGAACGCGGTCTGTCCGTCGCGATCTGCCGTCAACCCATTACGGGCAGCCCGTTAATCTGTAGTACAAAGCGGTACGTTACCCCCGCCACACAGAAGACAGGCCGACGGCAGGTCGCGATGGGCAATTTCCAGTTGTATTTCAAGACAGATTTTTCGCGACCGCCGAGTTCTATTTGATGCAGAAATGGGTGAAAATACCGAAAAATTAATAGAAAAAGTAAAGAACCGTGCTCTGTGTGACATTCGACCGCTTTTGGGACGCGTAGACCGCAACGGTATGGTTCGCGGCGGGCAGACCGCGTTCTGTGTGGCCAAGCATTTATTATTAATGTTATTCTTAAAATCCATGCAAAGTCCGTCCAATAATACTTTCATCATACTTTCTAGATAATAACCTTGGATCATGACGATTCCCATTCTCCGTCCGAAGATAGATACAATAAGAGAAGAAGGAGCCGTTCCAGATCTAGAGATAGAGGTAGGGACAAGGACCGTGATAGAAGATCCAGACGGTCCAGATCAAGATCCAAAGGTAGAAGACACAGATCCAGGTCGCGAGATAGGGACAGGAGGGATAAGGACAGGAAGGAAAAGGAAAAGGAGTCTGAAAGGGACAGGGAAAGAAAGAAACGTGGACTTCCCGCCATTAAACCAGAAAATTTGAGCGGTGAGTAAAAGAAACACAATTTATAAATTGTTATTCTTGCATTGTATTTAAGGGAAACATCATTCGTTTGGTTTATATGAATCAGTATTGATTAATTACAGAATTACCTTACCATATAGAAGCGACAAAGACGATTTTGTATTTTGTGTAAAAATCCATGGCTAAAATAATTGACAGTATAAGTGATAAGGAAAAGAAATGCCATTTCTTTGACTTTATTTTTTTACATCTCGTACCTGTATTTTAATGTAAACAATGTAAAAAACTTTGAATACTATCATAAAACAATATTTTTATTTTTATGTAGTTTAAAGCTTCGTTTTTTTAATTTCCATAACTATATCGTTGTTTTACTTTTAAGAAAGCTGGTTTTTTAATATATCTTTTGCTGTGCTATCCTGAACAGAGTACGAACCGTCTGGTTGACGGTAGACGTTGCGTTCACTACTGCGCATCATATCTCTATTCAACATCTGTTCACTACTGCGCATCACAAATTTACCCTGTATTTCAGGAATTAAGGAGGTTAGGACAAACCTATGTGGAGCATATTTAGTTTCATAAAAAAGTAGCAAAGAAATGTGAAAATCGCATCATTGTATCTCTACTCATAAAGGAGAAATCCTATAAAATACACGAAAATGAGATACCCTGTACAGATGTGATGCGCAGTAGTGAACCGCAGTAGGCGACCGGCAGCCAGACGGCCCACACTTTGGTCACGAGAGCATAGCAAAAGATATATTAAAAAAAGGGCTTTCTTAAAATTTTCTCCCAAAAACATTGCTAGCTCTTAGACTATAAGTAAAGCAGCGAAATCGTTATGGAAATGAAAATATAAAATAATACCAATCACAAGCAAATCGTTTATCCAATGAACGGAAGCATGAAAATGCAATAAATTTAAAAACTGCGTAATTTTATAACCAATCGAAGAATTTAAATTCAACCAATATAATTAATATCATATCATCGTATCGTCGGACAACGGATGCATGCCTAAAGCCGGAGTCTCATGCATCCGAAATCCGATGGTACGACATCCGAAATTTGAAGTTATCCTGTGAAATAAAAAAGGCCTGTCACATACATCCGAAAGTTCGTTCCGAAATTTGACATTTTTCTGCTGCACTGAATAGAGATTCATGTCATGTTTTATTGGAGAAACACTTATAAAAATAACTTCCTCGCCAAATATCCCCAAATTGCCCACTTCCCACTAAACTTGTTTTTAAAAACAAATGTTTTCAAAAAAAGTGAGGTTAAAAAACACACGATATCGTACAAAAGTTAAACAAAATTTAACTTTATACGACGTCGGACGATTAGTTAAAATTATCGGATAAAAATTGGTGTCAAAATATTTCGACCAATAGGAGCACCGTCGGATCGTCGTGTCATCGGATTTCGGATGTATGAGACTCCGGCTTAATTCTGTCAGATAAATTCGATTTTTTAGTGTAGTTAATCATTATGTTTTTTACAGTTTGCAGTACCACACTTTGGGTAGGTCATTTATCCAAACTAGTACACCAAGACGATCTGTCAAACACGTTCGGTGAATTCGGCGACATCGTCAGTATCGACTTGATCCCGCCAAGAGGTTGTGCCTTCATAGTGATGCACAGGAGACAGGACGCAGCCAGGTGCCTGAACAAGCTCAAGAATCACAATATGCAAGGAAAAGCCATCACTGTAAGACAAACATTGACAAACTTTTTGGCGTTTCTATAATTTCGTATGTTTTTAGTTGGCTTGGGCTCCAGGAAAAGGTGTGAAAGGCAAAGATCTAAAAGACTACTGGGAGGGTGATTTGGGAGTGTCGTACATTCCTTGGAACAAGTTGAAGCAGGACATAGACTTGGAAATGTTAGAAGATGGAGGAATGATTGATGAGGAAACGATGCCGACTTGGATGCGACAGAAAATCGAAGAGTTGAATAAAAAGAAGACCATCACCATCACACCGCCAGATAAACCACCATATTTTGGAGGGAACTTGAACAGTATGTTTACTCACATTAAAAAAACATTTCTTGAGTAATTTAATAATAACTAAAATTTTTTAGTCAGAAACTCTTTGACGCGTCCTGTATATAAATGTTCTTAGTTAATTGCAGCAAAATATTTCTTTTTTAGTGGGAGATATGAAAGTAGGCACAGCTTCAATGGGTTCAATTGATACCAGTCAGCCACCTCCGATGCCCGGCACCAATCTGCTGCAACCGCAGCTTCTGCCTTTGGTAAACCCGTTCCAATACAACAACAGACTATTGGGTTTGATGCCGAACATGGCCAACATGAACCTGCCGATCGGAGTGCCCCCTCCCAATATGCCGCCACCCATGATGCCGAATTTAGGGTTAGGCCTGAACTCGCCATTCCAAGGTATGTGCGATTTCATAAATATCTCTTTTTTTCAAACGTCATAAAAGTATTAATTTTTGCGACGTGATTGACAATATTAAAAAATCATTTTAACGCCTAGGCATAAAAGTAAAGCACTTTTACGCCTAAGCATAAAAGTACGAAAATATATTCAACAAGCGTAACCAAAGTACGAAAGTCAAATTCAACGAGCGTAACCATAGTTTCTTGATATATATAGTTTGTCCAACGACAAGATCCTTGACAGTGATAGATGTGTCTGTCATTTTAATTTCAAAGTAGTTTATTTTATTTTACAAAGAAATAAGTTGGTACATTGGAACGCATAGCAGGAAATTAGTATATTTAAAATTTGACTGACAAGTGATTACTTCAAAATATTGTGAAAAAATAACTGTATAAAACTGAAAAAATGTAATCGAGTTATTTTATTTAAAAAAGAAACAGTATGTGTTAATACAAAACACACAAGAACAAAACACCACATACCAAAAAATATAAAAAAGAACTATTTCTTACTTTCAAGCTTCAAGAAACTTCCCGCATTTATTATATTCATCAATATAACTTATGTACAAATACAAATTTGTATTTAAATATGATTTTGTTCAAAAATATTCTACAGGAATAAATTAAACAACATAAATAAAACAAACTATTTTATTAATAATAACACTTACCAAATTTTATACCTTTAAGGTTGATTAATTAACTTTAATCTTAATCTTTTTAAACCAGTACCATTTGACATTATTTTTTTTTGCAGTACTAAAATTCATTATTTACCTATCGTGTGATGTCGATATTTTACAGCTACTCCGGTTTTTAGTATACATTTAGTACGATCATCGTACCATATACGAGATGCACTTATCTACGACGAGATGGTATACAAACCTTATTGATGGTAACTTTAATGGGGTGTATAAGACTTCTGCCTGGGCAGTGAGTATTAACTATAAACTGTGCTCTAGGTCTACAGTTAATTTTCCCTCGGTTTTTCCTCCAGTTGACTTCAAAAGACACAAACGTAATAACACGAATCAAAATGCATCCAATTCCAAATGCAGGGTGTTTGACATAAGTTGGCACAAAATTATAACCTATAATTTGGCAAGACTTTGACAAGCCTCAAAAATCTAAAGGCGAGTTCATACGCATCGGCGTCCATTTGTCGTTCATCGTTCCGTGAAACCATTAAAATTGAAATATGATCTGTCATTTTTGAAATAAACCAATAAAACTGGTTAAAAACAACAAGAGACGACGCATGATGGATTAATATTAAAATCCATCCATAGTTAACTTAAAAAATATTAGAAACTTTTTAATAAAATAAATAGATTGGTATGGGACGTCATCTGCTTTTCTTCTGTCATCGTCTGTCGAAATCTTACCTGAGAAAAAAACAGAGTATATATAATTACATACAAGGTATTACTTTTAAATATTTTTATATTGGAATGTTTGAAATTGTTTAAAAACTTATTTGTCGCGTTTGAAAAAAAATAGAATGTTCCATTCAATGTAAAAATGCCTTTTTGTGCCTCGGCTGTAGGTCGCGTCAGATGCACAGCCTCGCCACAAAAAGTGTCATTTTTACTCCTAATAAAACAATATACTATTTTTGTTATGTTGGGTAAATCAATGAGTAATTTTATAAAGGTCCGCCAAGTATGATGCCGCCTCCGCATTTGCCTCCTCCTACAATGGAAAATAAACCTACTCCTCCACCACCTAATTCTGATGCTAGTTTGCGTAGTCTGAGCGAGTCGTTGATGAATTTGGCCGGACAGCCACTGACTATGCCTCCGATGACTCAGCCTCCTCCTCCACACAATATCGAGGATAATATGGATATTGAAATGGAAGATGCAGGTCTGTATTTATACCGATCTGGTCATCGAAACTTCGTGGTTTGGATTTTAACGTGTCAGAAAGTGATATAGACGGCTTAATGACAAATCAAATGTATTAAAAAGAGATAAAAGTTAGGTTGATCCGTTTCTTCTATGCGGTATTGTCGGATTTTGCAAAACCAATGTTGCATCTAGGGTTGGAACTTTATTTTTCACAATTAGTTGCTCGTTTTACTACAGCTGTAATAGATTATATTTAGCTTAGATATATAATCTTCATTTCTGTAGTATACATGAAAGTTTTTAAAATAGTTTATTTCTTCTGCCACATTTTGCTACACACGTAAAAACTGGCAATACTGTATGGCGCTTCTTATTTTGTCTCTCTGTCTGTCAACTGGTCGTTTACATTTATCTCTGTCGCATACATTAAAATACAGACAACGTAGATGAAGTGATTAGGATGGTATATTGTTTTCTATAGACGTATATTTTGTAATTATACATTTTTCTTATTAGTCGGACATCATGAGTCAAAATCTGCAGTTTCTCTAACTGAACAATTAGAAGCATCAATGCAGCAAAACTTTTCTAACAGAAGAGAGGATAATTCTAATAAACGTGATAATAGAAGAGATGATAGAGGTAGAAGAAGAAGCAGAAGTAGAGATAGAGATCAAAATAGGTAAGTGAAGAAACAAAATATTTGGTTTATTTTTTTTTTAATTGTCATCAATCAATTTAATTGATATCTTTGTGGTCATTGGAACCTTTCAAAATAAATTTGGAGAACTGTCACGGTCATCACTTTTTTTTAATTTTTCAGATAACAAAACGAGATTTGATATCTTAGTATATTACATAAATTAGGATTGATTGACGTATTCAATTGTTTTTGGTCACTTTCTGTTTCACCAGAAATGACAACTTTTGATTTTTAAAAGATACCCTCGGTATTTTTTTACTTTATTCTGGAACGACACTCTGAATAGAATGACATATCTTTGATATCATATGTCATATGAGATATGATTAAAAATACTATTTGGGCATCTGTTAACTGGCCAGGACAAGACACGAAAAACATTAAACAATCGAATCTATTTTTCCAAGGCTCCTTGATTAAAAATTAGTGTTTTTAACACAGCCATAGCACTCTAGATTGAAATTTAAAAAACGATTTGTTTTTAAGTAAGAATGTCAAAAATTGACATATGATATGTCATTCTATTCAGAGTGTCATTTTCTATCGAATAAGGTAAAATATATATAACGAGGGTGCCATTTAAAAATAAAAAGTTGTAGTCATTTCCGGTGAAACAGGAAACGACCGAAAACAATTGAATCCGTCAATCAATCCTAATTTATGTCATATACTAACATACCAAATCTCGATTTTTTATCTGAAAAATTAAATAAGTTATGGGGTGAGCCACTTTTGAGACGCACCCGGTATTTTAGTTTACCACTCTTGACACCTTATAAAGGAATGTTTCCTCACAATGATCCTGAATGTTCCCTTGTTACGAAGGGAAACATTCTATCTATTTCAACACTAATTGTTGGTAACTTGGTTACCTAATTAACAAATTTCAATCTTTCAGAGACAGTCGCAGTGGCGGCGGCAGAGGCCGTGACCGTCGAGACCGCGATCGCGACTTCAGGGGCCGCAGCCGCGATCGCAACGAGCGCGATCGCGACAGAGACGGCCGCGACAGGCGTCCCCAAAACGACAGAGAACGTCGCTGGGGTCCTCCCGACCGGCGCGATGACCGGCGTGACGATCGGCGCGACGACCGACGTGACGATCGCAGAGACTACTTCGACCGACGTGGCGGCGACGAGGACGACAGAGGCGGCGAGAAAACCCTGAACGACCGGCTCAAGGAGATGGCGGGCATGAAGTTCGACGAGCCGCCGCCGAACACTCGTGAGAGGAAACTGTCCGACGCGACGAAGAGGTCGCAGCAACAGGTTAAAGATGAAGGTGCGGCGGGGAAAGAGGAGGTGAAGGAGGAAAAGAAGGAGGTGCCGAAGATCGAAGAGAAGAAGGAGGGGGAGAGTGTGGCGTTTACTTTTGAACCGCCGCCGGCGATTGCAGATGATGACGCAGGTAAGCATCAGCGATGTCAAATACGATTCAGTGTCGGAGAGCATTAGTCCATAACATTAGTCCTAATCTCAAGAATATGAATCAACGTTAACGAACGCTAGCGCTCATACTTCAAACCCTAGATCATATACAGGGTGTCCAAGTATTTTAACTGGTAGTATAGTTCAGCCCCAGAAACAGACCTATCAGGTTTTTTCGCGGAAAAAAATTTTGAAAATTCATAATTTTTTGAAAAAAATTTTGGAAATGTTCTTAGTTTTTATTTTAAAAGCATAATTTCTTGATAATATGGCAGGTAGTAGATTAAATTTACAAGAAATATAATCCAGAAAAGATCCAGTGGTTCTCAAAATTTTAGCAAAAAAATCATTTTTTTTAAATTTTCAAAGTAAAATAACTCCGTTATCTTGAACTTATTTAAAAAATGATAAAGAGAAAATATGTTTCTTTTATCGAGATCTACCACCCCTTAAAATACTTGCACTTGGGACACCCTGTATATTTACGTGGATATGTAAATCACTATGGAAACTGTCGCAAACATATCAACGACTTACATTTGTCTTCTTTCTTTGTTGCACACGCGGTTTTTCTACTCTGTCTATCCTTGTCGAGGACCTATTGTCCTCGCGCCAAATTTGAATATTAATTTTAAAAATTTAATTTGTAAAATGCATATATTATTTGAACATTAAATTCATTGTTTCTGTCACAAAAAAATAAATTATATAAAAAGTACATTTAGCCACTCTAAAGAATATCAATATTCTTAGGAAATCTAACCAGAAAGTATGCTGTCTGGTTTAATATAAATTAAAGAACAACAGAATACTTTACTTGCCTATGAAAAGATAATTTGGGGACCTTTATATTAGATCTTCCACACTCCAAACACTTTCTAGTCATTTTGATGAGTATTTAAAAAGTCCAACGAAAAAACATAGAAATATAATTGCACAAACTTAAAATTAACTTCTCACTGAACATACTTGCATCCTTGGCTATATAAAAGCGGTCAATAAAAGAACAATTAATAAATTTTTAAAATAAAAAAAAACGCAAGAAACAAGCGTCGTTACACAATGGAAATAAGATTATGACAATATGATGACAATGAAAAGTTGGTTTCCATAACATTGTATAACTTGTACTTTCTAAACCATATAAAATTGTGATTATTTTGGGAATACGTGCAACTTTTAATCTTAGATTCTTATAAACTTCGTGGATAAGTAAATTCGCTTAATTTTTGTTAATGACACATCAGCGACATTCGACTATCTGATTATCTTTGTCTTTGACACTGACTGACCCATCGTCTATCTTTCTTTTGTGTATATGTTATTTTTATGTCATAAAATAGAAAATATAAATATATAAATTAGAGAAAATAATATTATTCGGATATTAATTATTATTTATTGGATAATATTTACTAGTATATTAATTATACAGGGTGGCCCATCGAAAACGTCCCGCAAGGCATAACGGCCAGGATATTCTTTTTTTCAAAAAATCCAAAAACACGTCAATTTTGTTTGTGAGGGGGACAACTTTTGCCCCAAAAATGATTGCGAAATCTTCAACCCTCTAAGCGGGGGTGTCATCCCCCAACTTTTCTCAAATCGGAAGGGGGGTCAAGTGGCACCGCAATGAAAAGACCTTTCTATTCTTTATATTTCCCCGCCTCGTTTTTGAAAATCCGTCGAGTCATTGAGAAAATATGAAGGATTGAAATTTGAAAAGTTTATTGAAACATTTATCAGAGTAAAGGATAAGGATAAATTCTTTCGACCAATTTGAGGTTTTTTATTATTATTTCTAGATGTTTACGCATTTTTCACTTGCCACAAGGTTGAACGATTAGTTGCTAGATAGCTGTTCTGTGACTTATGCGTTGAAGTTCTTCTCAATATCGTTAAACTGACTCACAATAGAATTTCCAAAAATACCAGCCCAACCGTTCAATTTATGAGGGGGTTTTGTGTGTGCACCTCGTGAAAAACCCTGGGGTTGTCTTCAGCCCAGTACCGACCAGTTGTACCGATTAACTACACCGTTCAAAAAGAAAGTAAACTCATCCAAGAAACACAAATTAAATAGAAAATTATTATCATTCGCCACTCGTTCACTCATAGTTTCACAAAATTGCAAGCGACGATCAAAATCGTCTTCGTTGAGTTCTTGTACCAACTGAATTTTGTACGGGTGGAACTTCCGTTTTTTTAATATCCTTTTGACACTTTGCTACTAACTCGCGAACAATTTTGCCATAAAGGTGGTTGTCAGGATGGCGTTCATTGAATATCTACACAACCCGATTGCCACATTCATTATTTTTAAAATAAAGTTCGATTATTTCCACTTTTTCTGCAAGTGAGTACACCATAATAATTGTTAATAAAAATTTAACGATATTGTTCTCAATTGAACTTCAACGTATAAGTCATAGAACAGCTATCTAGCAACTACCGCACCTGATCGTTCAACCTTGTGGCAAGTGAAAAAATCCGTAAACATCTAGAAATAATAAGAAAAAACAGCAAATTGGTCGCAGAAATTTATCCTTATCATTTACTCTGATAAATGTTTAAATAAACTTTTCAAATTTCAGTCCTTCATATTTTCTCAATAACTCGACCGATTTTCAAAAACGAAGCCGGAAAGTTTAGAGAATAGAAAGCCCTTTTCAATGCGGTACCACTTGACCCCCCTTCCCATTTGAAAAAAAATGGGGAATGACACCCCCGCTTAGAGGGTTGAAGATTTTGCAATCATTTTTGGGGCAAAAGTTGTCCCCCTCACAAACAAAATGACGTGTTTTTGAATTTTCTGAAAATAAATTACCCTGGTCGTTATGCCTTGCGGAACGTTTTCGATGGGCCACCCTGTATAAAGAAAAAAAAACAAAGATAAATTACCTAATAATGTTTAAAGTGATTAAGTTACCTAACATAAATATATATTTCGTTGAACAAATGTCGGTTTAATAAACGATTTTAAATAACATATATCTTGTTTTTTGAAAAAATGGAACATACTTCAGAGGTTTTCATACTTTTAGTGTTACGGAGTTCTTTTAAGGATAAGATTGTTCCTATTGATATCCTATGTCTCGTGTTACGATGCATCACACTGTAAAAATTTCATATTTTAGGATTCAGAGGCCCACCTATAGGCGATTTCGGTCCACCCGACCGATTAGGCAACGACAACATGGACTTTAATCCGCATCTGGACGAACCCCCGCCCTTTGACGACCGTCCCTATCCCCCGTACGGTTCAGAAGACGCCTTCGACGGCCGCTATGACGAATCAGAAAGGCACTACGCTCGCAACGCCAGTCCATCCTACCGTTCAGAAGGCCCGTTCGGTCCCGATGGTCCTCCGTTCGGTCCTGATGGTCCTCCGTTCGGTCCTGATGGTCCTCCGTTCGGTCCTGATGGTCCTCCGTTCGGTCCTGACGGGCCACCATTTGGACCAGATGGACCACCATTTGGACCAGATGGACCACCATTTGGACCAGATGGACCACCATTTGGACCAGATGGACCACCATTCGGACCAGATGGACCACCATTTGGACCAGATGGACCACCGTTCGGCCCTGATGGGCCTCCATACGGTCCCGACGGACCTTACGACGAACCCTTTATGGATGAATACGGCATGATGGAATACGGTCCGGATTTCGGTTCCGGCTTCGACGGACCGAGATTTATGAGGGGTAGACGTGGCGGCCAGAGGCGGGGCAGAGGAAGGGACGACTTCTTCCCGCCCAGAGACGAGTTCGGGCCGCCAATGGTGCGTGGCGGACCCGATTTTGGACCAAGAGGACCGAGGGGCAGAGGATTCTTTGGACGCGGTAGAGGACGCGGTAAGTTTTGAAATATTATATATGCGTGTTTCTTAATGATACGTAAATATTTGAAAATCTTTATATGAACGTATCTCCTAAACTAATTTACGTTTAAGTTATATGGTAATAAAATTTTCGGGAAAACTTTTCTTGAAAAAATTGTATTGTACATTATGCTGACAAGCGTTTTTTGACATCGACGTTTACGAAAACGTCACTATTCCAAGCAGGGTGCAATGATTTAAAACAACGGATTTTTTTATTTTAATCATGGATTTAAATAAAAAAATCAACTTGTTTAAAAACTTATGATAAATCGAAAGATAATGATAAAAATTATAAAAACTTTTCGTATAAAGCTATAAAAAATATTTCTATCCTATATAAAATATACTCTATAACTATTCATTAAATATATAATTATTTTTTGTAACGTTTAAATACTTTAATAGGTCGAAAAATTATTGTAAAAGATATAACATATAACACATGTCCCTAATATCCATTCAACCATAGACTTAAAATAAAATATAGACTACACTATTTACATCTCAACGCGGACAGACAATATTTTTTGTACACATGTTTACTTCTGGGTACAATCGACCGAGCCTTCCTCATCCAGCCTATGTTGTCACGTCTTTAATATTATCAATATTTTTTTTCTTGTTATACACATATATTGAGATATTAATACTACAGTTTAATAAAAGTAGGTTTTTAATATTCCAGAGATGTATTAAATAGTCCTTATACTACTAAATTATAAGTCGGATACTGTTTAAAAGGATAAGTTCTTTACAATATGACAACACCGATTAGAGGCGAGGGAGCCTATTCATTCATTTATTACCTTGTAGTACGTGTCGCACGTGTGCGGTAAAGCTTTGTTGCCGCTATCTCCCCGGCTGTATTAACGCATTTTCTTAGCTTGTAGTGCTTAAGTGTTTATTTTATTGACTTTTTTCTGTTCAAGAACTATAAAATATGGTTCGCCAGTGCCAAATTTGCAAAGAAATTTGACTTAAATAATCCATTTAAGTCTTGAAACGACTTTTGACCGGTAGGCAACTCTCAATTTACCCATTGGGAGTCAGTGGCGTTGTTGTAGAAAGGCGCTTATTTAGATAATATTTTAGTAAAATGTAAAATCTGAATTTTTTCTCTTACATTACATTATTTACTTACTTACATTGCAACAAAATCATAATTATAACCCTGTTAATAATTAATAATGTTTTTATTAAAAATATATTCCGGTTTATTCTAAAATTATCTTCAGAATCTAAAATAACATACAAGAATTTTAAAATGAGATTACATTATGAAACAATATTTCTTAATATACCGGGTCGTCTCAAAAGTGGCTCACCCCTATAACTTTTTTATTTTTTCAGATAAAAAAACAGATTTGTATGTTAGTAGGTATATGACATAAATTAGGATTTATTGACGTATTCAATTGTTTTTGGTCTCTTCCTGTTTTACCGAAATGATTACATCTTTTGATTTTTAAAAGCACCCTCGGTATATTGCTACTTTATTCGATAAAAAATGATACTCTGAATAGATTGACATATCATATGTCAACTTTTGACATTGTCGCTTAAAAACAAAACCTATTTTAAATTTCAATTCAGGGTGCCATGGTGTTGTTAAAAACACTAAGTTTTAATCAAGGAGCCTTGGAAAAATAGTTTTGATCGTCTAATGGGTTTCGTGTCTTGTCTAGGCCGGTTAAAAGATGTACAAATCGTATTTTTAATCATACATATGTCAATTTTTTCAAATGGAACAGGGGTGACTGACTCATTAGCATATTTGGAAAAAGCATTTTTTTATGAATATATTGATACCACACACTTGGTATTTCGAGTCAAATTGTCGTTATGAACCGCGTGTTACAATTACAATTAAACCATATGCGAGAATGTCAAAAGTTGACATATGATGTGTCATTCTATTCAGAGTGTCATTTTCTATCGAATAAAGTAGAAATATACCAAGGGTGCCGTTTAAAAATTAAAAGTTATAGTCATTTCCGGTGAAACAGGAAGTGACCAAAAACAATTGAATGCGTCAATCAATCCTAATTTATGTCATGTACTAACATACTAAATCTTGTTTTTTTATTTGAAAATATAAAAAAATTATGGGGGATGAGCCACTTTTGGGACGCACCCGGTATAATAAAGACAGTACCGAGTTAAATAAATGTAGTTTTCATTTTATCCACTTCCTATCACCTTCCTTGCTTTAATGGAACAGATTTATGTTTTCTCTAATTTACATAAGACATCACTTAACCAGAAAAAAAATTACAACAATCATATTATGACTAAAATTAATAATTTATTATTAATTTCAAAAATTACGTAATTTCGATTATAAAATTTCTTCTATAACGTGTATTTTATTATTTTTATCCTTTTTGGACTCTAAGACGTTTTTTCTAAACTTTTATTTAAAAAACCTGTCCTAAATTTGCCTAAATCTTAATAAAATATAAAAAAGTTTAAATACGATATATTTTTAATTTAATTATAGCTTCATTAAAATAAAAAAATACCCGGCTATGATACGGAGAGTTCAGGTGTACTTGAGAAACGAAAGACAGTGTTGTGTTTCTCGGCAGACTTATGATAAATCGAAAGATAATGATAAAAATTATAAAAACTTTTCGTATAAAGCTATAAAAAATATTTCTATCCTATATAAAATATACTCTATAATTATTCATTAAATATATAATTATTTGTTGTAACGTTTAAATACTTTAATAGGTCGAAAAATTATTGTAAAAGATATAACATATAACACATGTCCCTAATATCTATTCAACTATTTCTACACTAACTACACTTCTAAATGGCATAGATTTATTTTGAAATTGTAAAGTGTCAGAAATCCGGTATTCGAATACATTTCATTCGCAAACTTTATAGTGCAAAACTAGTTTCTTCTGATGTCGAGTTATATTTTTATTCCCGAGGACTAATCAATGTCAAAAGATAAGCTGGAGTCAAGGTTGTTTTATACCTTTTTTGAAACAGCTGAATGTTGATCAAGCTAACTTCCGCCTTCCGTAATTTATCTTGTAGTTTATTCCAAATTTCTACCGACATTTTGTTTTACAATAAGTACTTTGCTCTCTGAACATAAGATGGTACCAATTTTATTCTCGACTTAAGACATTCATGACTATTTCTAAAAAAAAATCCGTTTGATCTAAGCGGCCGATTTTTTTTTCCGGAAATAGGGGCATCGGCAAAGTTTACAGAATAAAATATATCGGTTACCGATTTAGAAAAACGACACGCGCCGTATAAATGTTAATATTGTTAATGTTAATATCGGGCAGAGTTAACAATGATATAGCCATTTAGGATAGGACTTTAAATAAAAAATTGATTAAAAAATGTCCAATTAAAATTTAAAAAAATCGTTTTTTTTATTTTTTTAAAAAAATCTAAATTTTTTTGGACCCTGATTTCTAAAACAAAAATATGTTGAAAAAATCACCCAAATTTATTGATTTCAGGCGGCGTTCCTTTCCGTGACGGCCCACCCAACGCTTTCAACCCGCCGTTCGACGGCCCTCCCGACTTCTTCCGAGGTCCACGAGGCGGTCACCGACCGCCCTTCGACGACGCCTACAACAGAGGTCGCGGCGGTCGCTTCAGAGGCCGTGGCGGTCGCCAGGGACCCGACTTCTTCGAGGGCGGACCGCCGCATTTCAGGGATAGCCCGCCGCCTTTCGGCGAAGGCCCTCCGGGTCTAGATTTCCCGCCGAGAATGGAGGATTTCGAACAGCCGCCGCCCAGAGCGGAAAGGACGAGGTCCAGGTGGGGTAACGAGGACGACAGAGAGCAGCAAAACGAGATTTCACGAGAGGACACGAATCAAGAGGGTGGAGGTGATGGAGGGGCGGCTATGGAAGGACCTGCAGGTAATACAATTATTAATAATTAACTAATGTATTGAGATTGTATTTGCTGGCGATATATTTGTAAGTTAATTTTAAATATAAAACAATTTAAATATTTTGTGGTTGTGGTAATAAGGCTTCTTATAATCAAGTAAAGTATGTCCAAGGCTTTGAATTAAAATATTAAGGAAGGAGTATAATGCTATCCATGTATTCATGCATGGTCGACGGAAAGAGGACGGTGGGGATCCTTGACAGTTCTGTTTGACGATTCACTTGACACATTTGAATTTGATTTGAAATTTTGTGGATTTGCCACTGTTTACTGAGCTTATTTTATGTTATTTATTATTTATTCTACTATTGATAGTTGTTTAAAGGTAGTAAATCTAGAAGGAAATTGTTGCAGAACTTAAATTTACAGTGACACTATTGCGATTTTTCGAAAAAGACTAAAATAGTTGGTTGTGTAGCGTGCGGTAGATCGATTTCGATCCATTAATAACGGAGTTATTTTACTTTGAAAATTTCCAAAAAAAATATGTTTTGCTAAAATTTTGAGAACCACTGGATCTTTTCTGGATTTTCTTTCTTGCAAATTTAATCTAATACCTATGTTGCCATATTATCAAGAAATTATGTTTTTTAACTAAAAACTAAAAAAAATTCCAAAAAAATTTTCAAAAAATTTCGAATTTTCAAAAAAAAATTCGCCAAAAAAAAACCTCATAGGCGTGTTTCTGGGATTGAACTATACTACCAGTTAAAATATTTGCACTTATTTCTGGGACACCCTGTATATATTTTTTCTTGCATTTTTGCTTTTATTTACTACTTGTCAAAGATTAGATGTCAACGTTGAATAAGAAGACTAAGGAAGGAGCATATCAAAAATCTTAGGTACACCGCGATGGGCCTCAAATATGGCCGACTTAAATTCCGGTTTATCAGTGTCGTTCTAATTTTATTTAAAAAATGTAAAACTATGATGTAGGGTAGACGTGGGGTAGACTCAATAATTTGTTGTTTTATTTTACGTTGTGAATAAATGTTGGTAGTTATTAAAATTGTTATAAAAAATATATAATTCTAATAAAAATAGATAAGTTATAATAAGTATTTATTACCACAAACATCCGATACGCTACTGAAGCAGGTAAGTCAAATTAACGTATCTAAATTCTTTGACATCTAATCTTTGACAAGTAATAAATAAAAGCTAAAATGCAAGAAAAATATATAATTTAGTTAATTTAAGTGAATTTCATAAATGATCGGTTTACTACACGTATGTATATTATATAGTCACTTACTAGCGAAAAGTTGTTCCATTATTTCACTCAATTTTTGCCGAGATCTACCGCATGCTACACAACCAACTATTTTAGAGTCTTTTTGATAAATCGCGAAAGTGTCACTGTTAATTTAAGTTCTGCCACAATTTCCATCTAGATTTACTACCTTTATACAACTATCAGTAGTAGAATAAATAATAAATAACATAAAATAAGCTCCGTAAAGACTGACAAATCCACAAAATTTCAAATCAAATTCAAATGTGTCAAATGAATCGTCAAACAGAACTGTCAAGGATCCCCACCCTAGAGTGCTTTTATGGCGCTTTTTCCGCCCACCATGCATGAATACATGGATAGCATTATGCTCCTTCCTTAGTCTTCTTATTCAAAGGATGTCAAAGAATTTAGATACGTCAATTTGACTTATGTGCTTCAGTAGCGTATCGTATGTTTGTGTTAAATAATTATTATAATCAAATTTATCTATTTTTATTAGAATTATATAGTTTTATAACAATTTTAATAACTACCAACATTTATTCACAACGTAAAATCAATCCAAAAACAAAGTATTGAGTCTACCCCACGTCTACCCTACATATTTTTACATGTTTTGAATAAAATTAGAACGGCACTGGTAAACCGGAATTTAAGTCGGCCATTTTAGAGTCCCGTCGCGGCCGATCTATGATTTTTGATATGCTCCTTCCTTAATCCATAGATATCTTTTTTCTGTAATTCAAACGAAATTAAATGCATCGTAATTTTTTTGTAGATAACGGTTCTGGCACTCCCCTGAGGGACGAAGCCATAGACCACCACGCTGAACAACAGCCAACTGAGAACGATCACGAAGCACAGAGTCAAAATTTTAGCGCACAACAATTTGAACCGGAACCTTTTGAAGCTGATCAAGGACAAGGACCAGAAGAGAATGCTGCAGAAGCCGTCGAAAATCAAGAGTAAAGTTATACGCGCGTGTAGGCAAACAAACGTAGATTTATTACTTTATTTTTGTCTTGTTTCAGAAAGGGACGATAAATCTATTGTTGAGGGTTGTGTATTTTTAAATTGTGACATATTTTCTACAATGGTATAGGTAATAAAAAAGCTGTCATCAGTAGATATACCGTACTTTTCTTTAGATAGATAAGGGGTTCCAATTAATTACTCAATAATGATTTAGATATTGATAACGGATAATTGTTTCATTAAAGAAATTTATGTGTCTTAAAAGTCATTATCATATATACCGGGTGCGTCTCAAAAATGGCTCACCCTTATAACTTTTTTTTTTAATTAAAAAAAACAAGATTGGATGTGTTAGTATATGACATAAATTAGGAATGATTGACGCATTCAATTGTTTTCGGTCACTTCCTGTTTCACCAGAAATGACTACAACTTTTGATTTTTAAATAGCACCCTCGGTATTTTTTTACTTTATTCGATAGAAAATAACACTCTGAATAGAATGACATGTCATATGCCAATTTTTGACATTTTCGCATATGGTTTATTTAAAATTATAACTTGCGGTTTGTAACGAAAATTTTTGACTCGAAATAGCAAGTGTATGGCATCAAATTATTCGTAAAAAAATGCTCTTTCCAAACATGTTAATGAGTCACCCTCATTCCATTTGAAAAAATTGAGATATGATTAAAAATATGATTTAGGCATTTTTTAACCGGCCAGGACAAGACACTAAAAACATTAAGACGATCAAATCTATTTTTCCAAGACTCCTTGATTAAGAAATGGTGTTTTTAACATAGCCATGATACTCTAGATTGCAATTTAGAATACAATTTTTTATTAAGCAAGAATGTCAAAAGTTGACATATGATACGTCATTCTATTCAGAATATCATTTTCTATCGAATAAAGTAAAAATATACCGGGGGTACCATTTAAAAATCAAAAGTTGTAATCATTTCCAGTGAAACAGGAAGTGACCAAAAACAATTGAATGCGTCAATCAATCCCAATTTATGTCATATACTAACATACCAAATCTCGTTTTTTATCTGAAAAATAAAAAAGTTATAGGGGAGAGCCACTTTTGAGACGCACCCGGTATACCATCAGGAAATCTCTTTAATCTTCTTAAGTATGAAGACCCTCTTTAAAAACTATGGGGCCTTGGTTTTAACATATTAAGCCAGTTCCACATGATATCTTTAAATGGGCATATTTACGACTCCGACATTTATCCACCACATAATAATGTCCGAACCTGTGTCGCACCTTGATTACGCTGTTCAAATAAACGTTTGACACATCGTGTAGGACTGGCTTGACGTGGATGTGAAATTTGTAGTCACATACAATTTATCTCACTTCAATATATTTATGTGGTTTGTCGAAATTATATATTTTCTTGTAGGACAAAATATAATTACATTACTTTGTGATTTGATATAATTTTAGAATAGGGAATAGTTTGCATCAAGGCTCTGACTGCCCAATTATGTTTTAATATTTCATGTAATTTCTTATAGTCTAATATAAATTGGTATTTTTATTTTAAATTGGAATGCAAATATTTTTTTTAAATTGGAATGCAAATAATTTATACTCCAGTAATTTCTGAGTAAAAAAAAAAGTTTTTAGTAAACATTGCAAAAAAGGGAATTTTATTATTTTAGAATGTACCTTATTGGAAAAAAGTGAATATTGCCGGATGAATGAAAAAATTCGGCACATATCTATTCAAGAGCAATATTTTATATGTTGGAACACAACAATTGCTTAATTGCTTCTATTAATTGGAACTCTAGTAGAATTTTTTGTACAGATTTTATAGTTGTAAATTAACGTGAGAGAATACATTTATTATTTAACTGTGAATACAGTTTACCGAAAAAAAAATGCTAATGTAATAGGCACTCTTTAAGAATAAATAAATATCTATTTATTAAACACCTTGTCGTTTTGTTTACTCCTTAAATTTTTTATTTCATTTGTGTATTTTATGGCCTTCATTTAGTTTCTTGCCTTGGTTATGGCTTTGGTTATGGTTTTCTGTTCAGTTTCGGTGTGTTGCCTGATACTTTTATCAAAGGTTTTTTAGGAACACAGTTCCTAGCGAGAAGTCTGGTTTTTCTTTTTTAAATAGTCCTTTTTATTTCAATATTAAAAATTATAATCGGTAATAGATTTTATAGTTTATACTTTAATGACCTGCCAATAGATGGCATAGTTGTTCTCCATCATTGTCGGTATAATAAATACCTGTTTATCTAATTACTATAGCTACTGGTCAATAGATGGCAGTTTTATCATTTTATTTTAATAGGAACCTGTAATAGTTAGGTAATATAATTTTCTTTTTTTTTTCAGATTTCTACTTTAAATCAGAATAAATTTCAATAATTCTTTAATAGGTAGCAACACAAGTGTTATTTTCTATCTCTTACCAAGTAATGTATCTCTGTCTTACACGTTACACGTATTCCACATAAAGTAAATACAAACAAAATTACTTCCAAAAATTCAACGCAACTAAATAAATTAAATATGAGCTTGTACTCGATATCTGGTAAGAAAATCATAATATTGAATTAACTATACACTACAATGAAGGACACTAGCTGCCATGTAATTTTAGACTATTTTGATGATATTGCTGCGGCTCGAAAGAGACCAAAAAATCAAGATTATTTAAAACTACCCACTCGAGATAATGGATTTGTAGACGCTCAGTTTCAAGTACCAGCCCAAAAAATACCATGGAAAGCAATTTTCTTAGCCACCATGCTTTTAGGTATATGTATACATAAAATAGCTAGGCATAGGTTACTTTTGATTCATAAAGTAAAACTATTATTACTATTATAATTTTTGGTTTATAGTTGTTGGTACAAGTTTGTTAGTTTTTGGGTCATTAGCCATCAGTGGAAGATTAGTCCTTGAATACCCTGATCGAATGTGGCCAATGATAATACTGGGACTTATTATGTTTATTCCTGGAGCTTACCATGTCAGAATTGCCTATTATGCATACAAAGAAGTTCCAGGATATTCTTTTGATGACATTCCCGAGTTTGAATAATGTTGAAACATACGTATTTATTGAGTATTTTAGTCATTTCTGTGATGTTTATTGCTAAGTTTTAGGTGCCTTTTAGAGTCTATTGTAATATTTCAGCTTAAAAATAAAACAAAGTTATAGTAAATAAAAATTATTTAATCATTATACCAGTCTAAAAACAATAAACTAAACGACATAACAAGTAAAAAGAACAGAACCCACACTCTTAAACCTGCATTTCTCTGTATTGCCTGTTTTATTTGCTTATTAGCATCTCGAATATTTTCTGTTGACCCCACAACAGTATCTGCAATTCGTTCAATATCCTTTTCTTGCTGTAAAACTTTTTCTGTAAACATCTGTTGCAATTCAGCTATGTGAACAACTTTGCCTTCCATATGTTGAACCTACATATGTATGTGTAGAAAAAAAATTGATATAACAAAAAATAACTTACTTCATCAGAAATATTATTTAATTCGTTAAATAAGTGCTCGTTTTCTTCTTCAAACATTTGCATGTCTTCTGTACTAAGTCCATTGTCGTAATCAATTAAAGGAGATGGTGTTTGTGGCGTTTTATTTTTTAATGACGAAGTAAAATCTCCAGATCCATCCTTACTTGTGTTATTTAATCTGGACAGGTTTAAACTTTCTTTATTAACAGGTTTAGTTTCTAATTTCGATAGTTTATGTATATCAATCACCCTCTTTACCCTAACTGCCTTGGCTTCTGTATAAATCTTTGACACAGCCTTTAAGTAACTCTCTAATGACTCGATTACATACTGATAATGTTCTTCCTTCTGTGCACTTTTGTGGATACCCCGAATTTCCTTTTTGTAGTCATTTATAAGATTGGTACATGAACTCACAATATTTTCTGCCATCAAATCTACTTGCTCTCTATCCATTTCAGTCATGGTTTTATTTGTAGATAAATAATTGATTACATTTAAATATGCTGCTTTGTTCTCTAATAAAAACGTCTGTAAACTGGTTATTTGTTTAACAATTTCCCTAGCTTTCGTTAAATGCACGTCTCTGTTACTGCTTTTTAAAATGTTTGTCTTAGGGCTGGTAACACCTAAATCCTTATTTGTAGCCTTTACAGTCTTCACGCACGCTTTAAATAAGGTAGTTATATCCATTTTAATGTATTAATTAATAAAAAAACTACATAAACTAATACATAATAATTAATCTGTAAATATATGGTAAATATTGACAAATCACCACAATAAGAAATCTAACCTAATATTCACAGTTCACAGTTCACAGCTGTTTTTGAAAACTACCGCAGGTAGTAAAGGTAGATAACCGTTTACACACGTGTACATATTTTGACAGCTTCGCTGACAGTTGCAAAATTGGACATTTTTGTTATTTTTTTGTACCTCTTTCGAACAAGAAACAGCAAAAACAACCTGTGCTAAAAAGTAATAAATTACATAGGAAATATCATAACTTTGGATGGTCGTGAGAGATGCTTGATAGGCACAAGTAGCTTTTCAACTTAAAGGAATGAAAATTATTGTAATTAAATTTTGAAAGACATCGAACATCGTTGCCAAAGTGGGAGAAAAATCGCTAGAAAACAAGCTGGTGTTTTCGGTGACCGTTTTAAAATAGCAGCAAGTGGAGAAGTTGGCGTTTTAGCAGGAACGGGACAGTGGCAGGCTCGCAGGTCACGTTCTAGAAAGCGAATTTCGGCATCTCCGGGCACGTAGATATTATAGATAGTCGGTTGTCAGAGCTGGTGCTTCCCGGTCGATAACTTATTTTTAGAGTATCGGGATTAGGTCGGGATAGTGCCCCAATTACGCAACCACCACCGCAGGAATGTTCAATTTGGTGTCCAAAGCTGCAGCCCCCATTAAAGGGGAGCTGGGGTCCATACTCAAAGTGCTACCCGCAGCAAACAACGTGCAGCAAAGCAGGAATTATGCCGAACACGTTATACCAGATCGTCTAAAGGTGAGACAAATTTTTCAACTTTAATTTTTAATTAATTTTATGTTAGGTTAAGTGAAATACTTGCAGGAAAAACATGAAAATACATTAGCGCATGGTTTACGTTAATAATTGTTACCATTATGCAAATATAAATAAACATGATGCTGATAAAAATCCTATAAATGAGGTTGTAATTGCTGTAAATGTTTATAAATGTATAGGTACCAGTATTCTCTTTCCAAGACAAATCAACATCAATCTGAAAAATTACGGAATCATTGACATCAATTATTTCCCAATTATAATTGACTGTTTGGTCAAAATTTATTTATTTTAAACCGCTACTTTATGCGTTAAAACCATAGGTTAACACTACAGTAAAGGTCAATTTATTTAGATATCCTACGAAATCCTTTTAAATCTATTTAAAATTTTCATAAAAACAAATAAGTATCAGTAAGTATCTAAGCATTTAACAAACGTTCAGAAAAAAGAATTTGGAAAATTAGGTACCTACATTTTAAATAATCTTTTTTTTTTAATCTAAAAACAATAAGGTACAAGCATAAAAAAAAGGTAAATAATAAAATAAATAATTAGGTACAAGCCTACCTATGAAACGCATTACACATTTTTCTATTTTTATTATTTACGTGTTGAAAGTCTTATTTGAGAGTTATTTTTTAATCACATTCTCTGAAATTGGAAAAAATCAAATAGGCTGCCTAGACTGAGAAAAGTATAGTTTAAGTATTATACCATATGATCGAAAAAAAACGGCGTCCAGTTGGCTGGGAAATGAACATCGATGACATTTCCCATATAAATTTACATATAAAATGACAGCGATCTTCATTCCATAGCCATCGCTGTCGCCGTTTTTTTCTCGATGATACGGTACCTACTTGGAACGAAAAAAAAAACAGCGTCAGTGGGCTGGAAGTAACAATCAATAACATTCGCTATATAATTTTTTACATAATAAAATATCTGCGATCTTCATTTCCAAGCCAACTCTGGCGCCGTTTTTTTTTCGGTAGTATGGAACATTTACCTATTCATAAATATTTTTTTGAAGTAGGTACCTAGTTACACTGCTTTACTATATTAACTCTACTTTTTATTAGATATTATAAAAAATCGAGATACCTACTGGGTACGTCTCAAAAGTGGCTCATCCCTATAATTTTTTTTTTATTTTTTAAGGTAAAAAAACGAGATTTGGTATGTTAGTATATGACATAAATTAGGATTGATTGACGTATTCACTAGTTTTTGGTCACTTCCTGTTTCACCGGAAATGACTAAAATTTTTGATTTTTAAATAGGACTCTTGATATATTGATTGACTTTATTCGATAGAAAATGATACTTTGAGTAGAATGACATATCATATGTCAACTTTTGACATTTTCGCTTAAAAAGAAATCGTAGGTATTTTATATTTCAATCTAGAGTGCCGTGGCTGCGTTAAAAGCGCTAATTTTTAATCAAGGAGCCTTGGAAAAATATATTTGATCGTCTGATGTTTTTCGTGTTTTGTCCTGGCTAGTTAAAAGATGCCCAAATCGTATTTTTAATCATATCTCAATTTTTTCAAATGGAACAAGGGTGGCTCATTAGGAAATTTAGAAAAAGCAATATAAATAATTTGGTACCATATACACTTGGTATTTCGAGTCAAATTGTCGTTATAACCGCATGTTACAATTTCAAATAAACCATATGCGATAATATCAAAAATTGACTTATGATATGTCATTCTATTCAGAGTGAAATATACCGAGGGTGCCATTTAAAAATCATAAATTGTAGTCACTTCCGGTGAAACAGGAAGTGACCAAAAACTATTGAATACGTCAATCAATCCTAATTTATGTCATATACTAACATACCAAATCTTGTTTTTTTTTATTTGAAAAAAAAGTTATAGGGGTGAGCCACTTTTGTACATTATGTTCAAAAAGTTTTACTATCAATCTTGCTTTGTATGAGATCAAAAAGACAATTGTTATGAAAATTTGACAAGATTTTTTTACTGCAATTACAGGTTAAACCCCACTTAATCATACTTAAAATATTTTTGATCATACGGTATGTTACGAACTACTCACTTTCTCTAGGATATGCCGGACAATCCAAATCCCAAGTTTTTCGATATGGTCGAGTATTTCTTCCACAAGGCCTGCGTGTTGGTCGAGGACAAGCTGGTCGAGGACCTCTCCAAAGTGAAGGGCTCGAAATTGACCTTGGAACAGCGCAAGGAAAAGGTCAAGGGCATTCTCACGCACATGGAACATTGCGATCACATTATCGAGGTGGCCTTCCCCATCAAAAGGGATAACGGGTCGTACGAGATCATCAAGGGATACAGGGCTCAGCACAGTACTCACAGGCTGCCCTGTAAAGGAGGTACAGTTTGCATTATTAATATTCTTGATACTTTATTCGAATTAAGTTAATAGGTAAGACGTCAAATAACAATTATTAAAGACATATTTTTACTCTATTATGAGCTGTCACTATATTTCATATCAAATAAACTTTTAGTTTTGTGATTAAACTTGACCGGCACAGCGTTGCCAACTTTTACATATTTCAATTAAAATATTTTATGAAACAAAAATAAATTAATTGTTATAAATATACAGGGCTGTTCACCACATACGACATGGAGTATTGTAGTTAAAAGATTAGATTTTTACAAATTGTAAGTTTTGGGTTCGTTGAAGGACTATTAGAGCTACAATTTAAAAATATTTTTACAAGATACAGAGTGTCCCAAATAAGTAAAAAATATTATAGTTGTATTTTTTTAAAGAGAACACCCTGTATATTATTCTATTTTTAGATTCTACGATTAAAATAAAGGCAAATTTGATTACGGTTTATCACACTTAAACCTTACCGTTTTTGAAATATTCTCAATTTTATGAAATTGCAGTAAAATTTTTAAAGGTTCATTTCTCCAAGGGTATCAAAGTTTTTAATACTAAATATTTACTGAAGATTATTTATTGATCAGATATTGTGTTGCAATAATAAAAATTCTACTACCTTATACACAGTGTCCAAAAATTTATATTAAACAATTACTAGCTTTAAACGGCAATAACTTGTTTAATTTAAATGGAACACTCTGTATATTTTACATGAATCATATGCACAATTTAATTGTCTATCAAATTGTATTATACCATTCTTTACCCATCTCTTCAAGTTTTCGTAGAAAATGCATTTTCTTATAATTTAGACCTCATTTATCACTATACCCATGGAATATTGACATTTTAGATTATTTTTAAAGATGTAACAAATTTTCAAAGAATACAGATACTAATATTGTCGATAGAGTTCGCTTATTTCATTAAAAAATATAATAAAAACTGTTTAAATATTTTTTGTTAAAGAGGACCAATTAATATGATCCCAGTATTCAAACTACATTAATTGACTGTTTACGTTGATTAATAATAATTGCTCCAAAACTGAAAAGCTGAATTTTGTGTGTGTATTAGACAGTGTGGTAAAAAGTAACACCTTATAAATTTTATTTCATTTTTTGACAAATGCTTATTTAAAAAACAGAGACATTCATTTTCATAACTTATTATTATATTGATTTCTGAGCCAAATTCACATTTATTAGAATACTTTTGTAATTAAAAAATAAATTAAGTATATAATTAACTAATTTTTGGTCGGAAATAATGGTGGTATATTCAATTGGTATACTCTTTGACAAAGATTTAAATAGTTTTTTTTTGTATACAATGGGCTTGCAATATTTATCACCTGTACATTTTGTACATATCTGTTGCTTTAAAAAAATCTAAAATGTCAATATTCCATAGGTATAGTGATAAATGCTAAATTATAAAAAAATGCATTTTCTACGAAAACTTGAAGAGATAGGTAAAGAATGGTATAATAAAATTTGATAGACAATTAAATTGTGCATATGATTCACGTAAAATATACAGGGTGTTCCATTTAAATTAAACAGGTTAATGCCGTTTGAAGCTAGTAATTATTTAATATAAATTTTTGGACACTCTCTATAAGGTAGTAAATTTTTTGTTATTGCTACATAATATCTGATCAATAAATAATCTTCAGTAAATATTTAGTATGAAAAACTTTGATACCCTTGGAGAAATGAAGCCTTAAAATTTTTACTGCAATTTCATAAAATTGAAAATATTTCAAAAACGGTAAGGTTTAAGTATGATAAGCCTTAATCAAATTTACCTTTATTTCAATCGTAGAATCCAAAAATAGAATAATATACAGGGTGTTCTCTTTAAAAAAATTCAACTATAATATTTTTTACTTATTTGGGAACCTCTATATCATGTAAAAATATTTTTAAATTGTAGCTCTAATAGTCCTTCAACGAACCCAAACCTTACAATTTATAAAAATCTAATCGTTTAGCTACAATACTCCGTGTCGTATGTGGTAAACAACCCTGTATAAACAGTTATTATTTACATCAACAAAACTCACCTTTTTAACAGCACTTAAGGGACATAAAGGGTCATTACTACCGTTTTCCCGTTCAAAATATTCTAATAAAGTTGCATTGAGTTGTTTTACGGCTATTAAGCTACCCTGTACACTTCACACTAAAAAAGGTTCTAAAAAGAACAATGTTCGACTGCAAGGTCTGCTAGTAAACATTTTTAAGCTTAAAGTATCACAACACTATTTATTTAAACCAAAAACTCGTAATACAAAACTAAAGTGTCAAAACGAATGACATTGTCAGTAAATAAATAAATAAATGCGGCAAATTGACATTTTTTACCAGAGCTACCACCTGAATCCCTAGCGCGAAATTTGAATTCCAGTTAGTCAGCGCGGCGCCGAATATGTCCATGGTTGGTAACAATGAATTTAAAAATCACGCCCTCGATTACGTAACTAATTTAATTGATATCAAATATATTATTGTACTCCGTAGCCGAGTACCTACAATAATTAGCAGTTTATTAAATATAAAATAAATTAATACTGGAGTAAATAGTTAAATATTTCTCTGAAATTGTTGTGTTCCATCTTGACTTCAAGATATTTAAGAAAATAGATTGTCATTTCGAGAGCTACTGTAACATGTTTTTTTTTCGATCCCACTAAAGGTGAACAAAACTGCTATTTCTAATATAAAACTATAAAATAAGTATATCCGCAACACACAACACACACTGATTACTTTTTTATTAATTTAGTTTATGTATATTTTGCACACAAGATTCAAATTTATTTATTAAAAAAAATAGTAAATTCCTAAACTATTCAATAAAATAGTGAACACAGTGTATACAAAAGTAGTGTTAACACATAAATAAACACTAAAATATAAAATGTAGAACTTATAGTATTGTAGTAAGTAATAATAACCATATTTTGATATTACATATATATCTAATTGATTTACAACTTATTAACTATTAAGACAAACTAATCATATTGTTAGGGTATAATTTATTTCATGTATTGCCAATGTGTCAATCATTCTCCTCATATCAGTTTTATTTTAAGTAATTTTTTTCTAACGCTCTCTATTACTATGTCATTAATGTGTTATTTATTTATTTTAACAGTATAAAATTTTAATTAATATTTCTAACCCAATTAAAATTATCTTCCATGGTATGTGCATACATTTTAAAAGCAACTATAAATATCTTTTTTTTTCTATAGTTCTTATTACTATGTTAAGAATTTTATATTATATAATTTGTTTATTTTTATAACATGAAAAATTAATATATAATATAATTTATATATTTTTAGTTCAATTCAAATTATCTAGTCAAACATGCCGACATTTTATTTTTATACATTTTACAAAAGTAATTATACATACTTATTATATAATCGAGATTTTTAGTACACTCATGCTAATTAAAAATTCGAATAACTATTATTGTCTCACGAGTACAAATATTTTAGATAAAAAATAAAAAAAACTGACGAATTTGTGAAGAGTACTACAAAAGTCGATTGTGTTTAACAAGACAATTAGCAGTTTCGAGTAGTTTTGATACCCCCCTCAGAGATGTTAGCTCTACGCTAAACAATTTGTGACATCAGTGAGAATGAGATGCTGCTGATAATAAGATTAGAATTTGCTTAGCAACAAAAACAATGTATCGCGAACATTAAATATGTTTGCAGATTCGCTAGTGAATTGTTTAAACTGGGATGTGTAACTATTTTATACTTTGTAGTCGTACGAACACATGTTTATCTATTTTAATTGAGAAGTCATTTTATGCAAACCTTAATAGCACTTACGATTGAAAAAAAAGCATCACAGTGTCCTTTGAAACGAAAATTGATAATTTTAATTTTTGCCTTGTTGATTCCTATCTACAGTTCATACCAAATAAACTTAGGTCACGTGATTAAGCTTGACCGGCACAGCGTGGCCCACTTTTACATATTTTTTTTAATCAAAATATTTTAGGAAACAAAAATAAATTAATTATAAATATATTAACAGTTATTATTTACATCAACAAAACTCACCTTCTTAACAGCACTTAAGGGACATAAAGGGCCATTACTACCGCTTTCCCGTTCAAAATATTCTAATAAAGTTGTGATGAGTTTTTTTACGGCTATTAAGCTATCTTGTACACTTCGCGCTGAAAGAGGTTCTAAAAAGAACAATGTTCGACTGCAAGGTCTGCTAATAAACATTTTCAAGCTTAAAGTATCACAATATACATAACAACAACCAGTCAAGAGTGTCACATCATGGATCACTGAGCGATCCCTTCCTGACAAATACAGGAGTTAGGCAGGGATGTGTCTTAGCGCCTCTCCTATTCAACATATTCATGGCAGCGCTCTCCATTATAGTGGACAGCAAACTGCAGGAGAGAGGATTGGGCATTAGATACAGATATGACAGCGGCGGCGGTCTGTTCAACATAAAAAGACTCAGGGCAAAAACACGTACAAAATTCATCACAGAACTTCAATACGCTGATGACTGCGCTCTAGTTGCAAACACGTTACAACAATTACAAGAAATGTTGAACACATATACGTGGGCATACGAGGCTTTGGGCCTTAAGCTTAACATCGACAAAACCAAAATTATGTGCACTCCCCCAGAAGATCATAACAATGCTATAAAAATCGGAGAAGAACTATTGGAATATGTAGCGGAATTTGATTACCTCGGCAGTCTGATTTCGGAAAAGGCCAATATCGACTCTGAAATTCAGCACAGGATTAGCAGCGCCTCAAGAGCATTCTGGAAATTAAAAGACAGGGTTTTCTACAATCATGACTTGAGTACAAAAACAAAACTTGCAGTGTACCGAGCAATTATAATCCCCACCATGTTATATGGGAGCGAAACCTGGGTGCCGTACCGCCGACACATGAACGCA